CTCCCTGAGGTGTATAACAGGCAGTGCTTCTCTGCGGGTAGCTGATTGTGGTCCAAACAGACCTGAAGGCCGAGTTTGCAGCGTAGAAAACGACAGAAGGTGAGGCTAATTGGGGAGGATTATTGACCGGTGAAATGTGTCGCATATATGAGTAGGAAACGACATACTCAGGAAAGATGCTTATTGCTTTTGCATCAATTTCAGGGCGTTTTACTTTCTTGGCCTAGCCGGTGTCAGTAACTTACTTGAAAGCAAACGAGACGTAAATATGTTACTGCAATGTAATGTAATGCACCAGTCTCATAGTGGCAAGCTTATGGTGGCAGAACTGATAACATGTGTGACAACAAGCAGACGTGAATAAGGTGTTCTGGAATAATTAGTCTCAGACCATCAATAGGGAATGTGTTATCACCGCATTGTAACGAGCGCGTAAATACATATCTCGACGACTGCTGGCGTACGGGGCGGTATGTCATACGTCAAACATCGTCGCTTCTGGCAACTGTCTCCCGGCAGCGCCCGCCCCTGACAAATGGCTTCGTCACAAATATGTCAAAGTACAGTCAGCTCTTGGTGTTCGGGTGGGCTGATCTGTATACGTATATGCATGAACTCTGCCATATCTTACTTTTTCACTGCTATATTTAAAACACTTTGGACTGAGCCCCAAGTTTGCACCATTGGTTTCCTCCGATTTATCCCGTCTGCTCTGCCGTGTGACCTCGAGCCGCTGTGGAGCGCTGACGGACGAGTGCCAGTGTCGCCGCCGGATTACCGTGTGCACAAACATCGCTGTCGAGCCGCCGGCGACACATAAACCAACGCACAAATCACCGCGCCGCAGGCAGATCGGGGCTAAACGGCGGCACACGCTGAACCGCAAACGGGTGCCGCACGCACGCACAACCTTGCCAATCTGTCGCCGTGGATGATTACGTGCCACCCCCGCGGGTGATGACATCGTACACCTTTTGGCAGCAGGAACTAGACGGGTGTCATCACGCTCATGATTCGCTCAAAACTCCTATGACTCGTGCCAGCGGGCAGGGCATTGTTATCCGGTGCCAGATTCCTCACCCGTCGGTAACCACAGCACCACAGCGTGCCGCGCGCGCCAGCCGCCGCGCCGCATCCGCGCAGCCCACTTCAAAAGGTGTACATACACATCGTTAGGACAAATGATCGGCGTCGCATGAGTGACGCGGCCTGCGCAGGCTCAGCGCGAGGTCAGGAAAAAATGTGACGTGAAATAGCTGCGGTTGCGGTCCGCGAGTCGGTGACAGTACACGTGCCTCGACGGAGGTGTCGCCGCGATCGACGGCCGCCGCGCGACCCTTCAAAGGGCGCTGAGCAGCGCTGGCAGCTGCACCAACAGGCGCCAGGCTACTCGAGCCGGGCGGCCGGCGCGGGCACGTGTCAGTGGGGGATGAGTTGCGGTCGCGCCGCCGCGGTCGGCAGGTATGCCCGGACCTGACTCAGGTCTCGGCGGGAGGTGCCAGTCGCACCCCGGTCGCCCTCGGGCGCACTTCTGAACCCGTTCTCTCTGTGTGCCTCAGGTGGATATGTGGAGGACGGGGACGCTCGTGTGGCTCGCGGCGGCCGTGCTGGTCACGGTGACGGCCACGCCTGTACCGGCAGCTCGACAGGCGCCCCAGCCGGACCCCTCACCAGTGTTCTGCAGCCGGACTCAGGTACAGGAGACGGCTGTACGACAGCGACTGCTCGACTCTGGCCAGCTGATGGTCAGCACTCATGTGCTCACATCACTGCGGGTCGGCGAGACGGTGTGTATCAGCGCCGCACTGCCCGAGCCCGAGCTGCTGCCGCCCACGGACAGGGCAGAGACCAGGCTGCTCAATATGATACACAGCGAGGACAGCGACGACGAAAAGACGCTAGTCGCGGCTGGGGAAGAACTGTCTGAAGTGGAATCGGCCGAGCCCGAACGTACATACGACGAACGAACAACGAACCCCATCAGCTCAGATAATGTGATGAAGGATTTGACGGTCAGAGGCCCAGTGGACGCGGGACAGCCGACGAGCCTGCCGGCGGGTGATGGGACGCCCTCCCATCCAGCTGCTACCAGCTGGGCCGAGCGGCGGCTGGCTCGGGAGGCGCGCGCGGCCGCCGTCGCTCCGGGCCGCCTGCGGAAGGCGCCGCCGCCCCGCCGGCCAGACAGCCAGCGGCGGCTGCAGATCCAGCTGACCCTCGAGTCCGTACAGCACCGGCACGCCATCACCGCTAGCTACCAGTTCAGCGACCCGCAGCTGGGCGTCACGTGCAGCTGCGCCTGCGCCTCGCTGCACACGTGTGCCGCCTGTGGCCCGCTGTGCGTCTCCAAGGCGAGTCGCTCGCCGGCGCCCGACTGCCAGGGCTCGTTCCTGGGCTCGGCGCGCACCTGCTGCCAGCTGCGGGTCACGCCGGGCGCCTCGTTCCAGGCGGTGCGACTGCGTGGTGGTGTCACGCTGATGCGGCTGCGGGTGGCGGTCACAGAGGAGGGCGGCGGCCGGCCGGCCACCACCGAGAGCCACACGGTGGAGGCGCAGCTCGGCGAGGACCTGCGGCTGGACCTGAACGCCACCCAGGTGCGTCTGAGCAGCGTGGCGCGCGCCGGAGGAGCTCCCGACCTCGGCCGCGGCTGGTACGTGCTGCACGACGGCCAGCTCTACCAGCCGCAGAGCATCAACCAGCTCAACGAGTACAGCCTGCACAAGCTCGGCTGGCTGAAGCGGCGCGGCGAGGAGCACCTGATGCCCAGCGACGACCGGCTGGCGGCCGCCGTGCACGTCACCACCGAGAGCTGTACGGAGCAGATCTTCCAGGTGGGTGACAAACGATTCTCCAGCAGTGTGAGATGGCAATGACATCAGTCGGAAGTTGGTGTGTTGCATACATATCCTTCTGGTGGTGACATTCTGTGAATTGCGGAAGTTTTGTGGTTTATCTCGCGAGTTCCATGATCTTACTCGTAACACTGGAGTAATACTAGATAAGCCACTAGTGTTAAAATTGATGTTTAAGAGTTGAGAATCAGGCGCATAAAAAATGAATTAAGGACCAAAGAGTTAAAATACGTTTAAGCGGCTGTATTGGCGATGGTGGTACATAATCACACAGGCAATGGTCGTGGGTAGGCAGGGCACTACACAGGTAATGGTCGGTGGGTAGGCGCACACAAAAGGTGGGTAGGTGCCGACCGTCCAGCGGAAGGTGAGGGCAGCTCTGGATGCCACCCCCACCCCCGACTGGCGGGGAAGGCCGAGGGGAGCAGGGACCGAGAGACAGATACGGACAGCCGTGGCCGATCCGGAATACCGGCCACCGTCCGCTCCGCCTCCCGCTCGCCTACTGCCCCCGTCCAGGCACCGCCGGGCCGAGGTCGCCACCGATCACGTGACCGGCGCCAGGTCAGCGCGCATGCGCCATAGAGGTCACGCCGGCCCGCGGCGGGCGGCCAGGTCGGGCAACGCCGTCGACCCGCTCGATAAATACAACGCGGTAACATAATACGACGCGACGCAAGGTAACAAAATATAATCGCGACGATAACATAAATACAAACTTAACATACTCCCCACTCGGAAACAAATCGCATTTGTTTTCGAAACGCCGATGTCCACAATCACACAAATCACTGTCAGTCTTAACCCCACTAGGTCACTGCGTCGCTTGGTAGGAGGCGCGCCGCAGGTCGTCGGTACAATGAGCGCCGGTTGCGTCTGATCTGATGTGCCGGCACCGCAAAGTTTCGTTGCCGCCCATATTGTCGGGACGTGGTAAACCGTCGACTGGAAGATGACCGGCGCGCTCGCAGTCTGAAGCCCCAGTGGAAGGCGAGGGCGGCTCAAAATGCCGACCCTACTCCCGACTGGCGAGGAAGCTCATGTGGGAGTCTCAAGCCACTGAGTCGCCCAGTCGGAGATGAACCGCAGGCTGTCGGCGCTGAACACCGGGCGGCGTCTGGCGAGCCAGTACTGCGGGTCCTCACCGACGCCTCACCGCCATCCGGCGGAACCAGGACTGGGTTTCCTCCATCTCTTGGTTGAAAATGTTGATGAGGTCAACGTTCTGATGGCAGAGTTAAATTTATCGTGAGTATGATGTACGGGCAGAGCACAGACACATCCACACACGCACACAACCAAACACACAGATCACACAGCAGTAAGCGTGGGGCTATAACAAAGGCAGATAAGGCCAAGAAGAAGTTTGTGCTCATGATGCATATGCTGGTGGTGATGCCGTGGTGAATGGCGAGTGCTGTGAAAAATGTCGGTAAAGATGAATCGTGCTACTAGTCTCCGTATGACTAGTTTGATGAGACGTCAGATTAGTCAGGCTCAATGTTGTGGCGGTGCAGTCTGCTGACGGATCGTTGTGGTCCCGTTTCCATCATCTGACGGCAGCTTTTCCAGGTGTCAGTCTGGTATGCCGTTTCCCTGCTTGGGAACTGAGTGTCACAGCCACCAGTTGTCACGGTCGGTTTTTGTCCGGTTGCAGGTAGGTGTTGTGCAAGACTCTGTCCGGTGATGTCTTCCACAGATCCTTCAAGTACGTCACGTAGCTTCCTCTTTTTCCTACTTTCATGGTGAGGAGGGAAGAGGGCGGCATCATCATTCAGGTTGGTGGAGTATCCAATGGCCGATGTGCCAATGGAGCGGTCTCCTCCACCATGTTCAGAGGTGGGTTGGAGGGCGGTATCCTCCACATTCGATGTCGGTTTCGGTGGTTTGGTTGCCGTTTCTTCGATGACAGCATCGCTCCGCGTCTCGGATTTGGGTGGCTGGCTGGTTTCAAGCTTCCGTTTCGGCATCATCATCTGGTGAGTGGACCGGTTGGCAGAGCTGGCTACTGATTGGCAGTACAACTCCTGCACAAGATTCGTCTTGCACCGCTGTGCGGTGTCGTTACAGGGGGGTTCGGTCACTGGGAGGCCGTCTCGGTTCACAGCTTCTTGGTCTGAGACCTCCATCAGGTTGAGGCTACACATGTCATCACTTCTGCGACTGTGGAATGTGTGGTGGGTCGGCACATCATCAGGTCGGTATCCTGATGTGGTGGTAAGTGATGGTCGTTGCGTGGTGGCACTCCCCACGTAGGCAGGTCGGTATCCTGACGACGCGGTAAATGGTGGTGGCAGATTCGGTGCCTCAGGTGCAGGCCTTGTCGGTTGGTGCTGGGTCGGTTGGTGAAGCGATGTGTGGTGAGGCTCCCCACAGGACGAACATGGATGGCTCATACAGGACCGAACCCTGTGAGGGCCCAGGCACTGGTAGCAAACACCAGTTTTGCCCACTATCCTCCATCGGTCGTCGACTGTCATGGCTCTGTATGCCAGGCATTGGTTCAGTCCATGCTGTCCTCGGCCACACGCTCCACAGGTCCATGATTTGGCCTGTTTCGCCGGTGTCTGCCGCTGGATGGACAGGGCAGAAGCTGTGGAAGGAGATGAGGATGGTGTCGCTGGACTTGGGGGTGGGCTGGTGGCTCGGACGGTTTCTCGGAGTGCCAGCTCCCTTTCCAGAAACAGCAGCAGGTGCTCGTAGCTGGGCTGCTCCTGTCGAACCCACTCCAGACGCCAGTCCTGAGGAAGCTTCTCCTTCATGACTGGAAGAAGCAGAATGGAACAGCTGTCGGGGTTCACTCCGAGGGTGGCCAGAGCACGCGTGTGGGCAGACAGGTGGTCTACGAGGTTCCGCATGGCGCTCAGGTCGTTCCCGTTGTGGACGGCGGGTGCATCCAGGAGACGTTTCATCAGAGTCTCCCTCTCGATGTCGTCTCTCTGGAATCTCCTCTTCAGGATGTCGATGGCGGCGAGATATCCGTCTCCAGACACAGGGATCCCGTCGATGGCCTTCTGGGCTGAGCCACTGAGGTGCGACTTCAGGACCACAAACTTCTCGATGTTGCTGTACCGGCTGTTGCTGTGGATGGATACGCCGAACAGCTCCCAGAATGAGCGCCACTTCATAAGGTCTCCGCTGAATGTGGGTATCTTCACGACGAGCGAGGATCCAAGGTCAGTATTTGAGGTCGGGTCGACTTCACGTGTGCTGTCTCGAATGGCTCCAGCCGCTCCTCCTTCGAGTCGAGCCAGGAGTCGAGACGCCATGAAGACCTCCTCCTCTATCATGTCGGTATGTTGAGTCTCGTCTGGGTTGCCGTCTTTGTCGAGAAGGGTCTGGACTGCTTTAAGGTCGTCTCGCAATGCATTTAGTTGATGGACTTTGTAGGCAAGGTAGTCAATGTCGATGTCTTTGTGGTCCTTGGCTCGGTATGCCTTTGTGTCATTGACTAGTTTGGTGGCTTTGGTCCTCAGTTTGGTCCTTAATTTCACCTGATCCTCCATTATTCAAAATTAAGGTGCCTCTGGGTAAGTGAAAATTTCAGCCAAAAAGGCGCATCCGGCCCGGAGGACTATGTTAAAATTGATGTTTAAGAGTTGAGAATCAGGCGCATAAAAAATGAATTAAGGACCAAAGAGTTAAAATACGTTTAAGCGGCTGTATTGGCGATGGTGGTACATAATCACACAGGCAATGGTCGTGGGTAGGCAGGGCACTACACAGGTAATGGTCGGTGGGTAGGCGCACACAAAAGGTGGGTAGGTGCCGACCGTCCAGCGGAAGGTGAGGGCAGCTCTGGATGCCACCCCCACCCCCGACTGGCGGGGAAGGCCGAGGGGAGCAGGGACCGAGAGACAGATACGGACAGCCGTGGCCGATCCGGAATACCGGCCACCGTCCGCTCCGCCTCCCGCTCGCCTACTGCCCCCGTCCAGGCACCGCCGGGCCGAGGTCGCCACCGATCACGTGACCGGCGCCAGGTCAGCGCGCATGCGCCATAGAGGTCACGCCGGCCCGCGGCGGGCGGCCAGGTCGGGCAACGCCGTCGACCCGCTCGATAAATACAACGCGGTAACATAATACGACGCGACGCAAGGTAACAAAATATAATCGCGACGATAACATAAATACAAACTTAACAACTAGCAGGACATCTCCTACAAATACATAGTGCATTAGTCACAACAGGATTTAACTACGTCATCTGCCTCATCCTTGTTTCGGCACTGCATGTTTCCCTATCCAATATCCACACTCCACAGCCAGCGTACTTCTATTAGATGCAATACCTTCCGGTGCATTTGTACATTTACTACTCAACCGTGCCCGCTCTCTGAACCTGCAATCCGTGTGTGTGCTGCAGGTGCAGGGCGACCTGCTGCTGGACAGCACACTGCCTCAGCTGGGTCACCCGCTGGCCGGTCTGACGGTGGTCGAGCAGACCCCGTCGCGGCTGCTGCTCAGCCCCGAGCGGCCCGGCCGGCCGCTGCTGCTCGGCCTGGACCTGCGCCACCTGCAGCGGCTGCGCTACCTGGTGCACCGTGCCCGGCTGGCCGACTTTGACGGCGAGCTGCGCGTGGACGCGCGCGGCGCCGTGCTCGCCGAGCTGCGCCTCTTCAACGGCTCGGGCGTGCAGCACGGCTCGGTGCAGGTCAGCTACGGCGCGGCCGGGCCGCCGCCGGCGCTCTACCGGTTCAGCCTGGTGGCCGAGCGCCGGTTGCGGCTGCGGCTGCCCGTGACGCTGGCTGCCGACCAGACGGCCGCAGAGATGTGTCTGAGGCCCGAGGGCAGCGCGGAGGCCGCCCTGTGCAGACAGCTGCCCATCAGTCGCCAGCCGCTGGAGACTCTGCACAGGGACACCGGACCCGACTCGCAGCTCACCGTCGACGGACAGACCAACCCGATCAACAACATGGAGCGATTCCTCAGGTAAGGGCAGACATCACATGGCCAACCCGATCAACAACATGGAGCGATTCCTCAGGTGAGACTACAAACGACAGGTCCAACCCGATCAACAACATGGAGCGATTCCTCAGGTGAGGGCAGAGACAACATGAGACGGACAGACCAACCCGATCAACAACATGGAGCGATTCCTCAGGTGAGACTAGAAACGACAGGTCCAACCCGATCAACAACATGGAGCGATTCCTTGGGTGAGACTAGAAACGACAGGTCCAGCCCGATCAACAACATGGAGCGATTCCTCAGGTGAGACTAAACGCTACGGGACGGACAGACCAACCCGATCAACAACATTGGAGCGATTCCTCAGGTGAGACTAAACGCCACGGTGGAGTCAGACCAACCCAATCAACATTGAACATGGATCGATTCCTCAGGTGAAGGGGCAGACAATACGGGACCAACCCGACCAATAACGTGGAGCGATTCCTCGGGTGAGCCTTGATACGACGGGACCAATCCGACTGACGGCATAAGGAGATCTATTAGGCGAGCTGGTGACGACGAACTGAGACTCACAATTGGATGAGAATGTCTCAACTTTCATCAGCCAGCAAATTATCAACAAGCATATCCGCTCCAATAGCGTAATAACTAACATCGTGTGGACCGATCGTAATGAGCTAACAAAGACGTAACGGGCGCACAATTAACGGGCAATCATCTGCACGAGCCACGCCTGTTCACATTTTACGACTTACAAACACCATCAGGCCACTTCAGATAGCCCATCTGCCACGAGATGAGGTCATGGCCCCAGGATTTTACCGGCATTTGATGCCCCGTGGTGTATTATTGATGAGATGGGCAATAAATGAGGACCGTTTGAATGGTGTTTCTGTACTTTATGTCCCTGCAAATCGCATCGCAAAATCCATCACAGTCTTCGCTGAATGCCAATGTCGGCAGTAAACCGACGCCAGCTGATACTTCAGAGGTTTGGCTGGACATGTAGTGGTCGTTTCTCAGAGCGCAGGCCCTTTGCGCTCACTGAAACCGGCTTGCACCGCTGCTGCTACCGCTCAGACGTTCATTCGTATGCAGTTCGACCAGCCAACGATGCTAGCATAGGCGGCGGAACGATTTGAGACAAGGGGGGGCACCATGGCTCAAGGAGCCAAACCTAGGGTACCCCCAAATCCTGTTTTCTCATCGGATTTAGGCCACTTATTTTTCGTCACAGCCCTGACATGATGATTTTTTATTTTTATTTTTTACTAAACGAAAATGAACATCTCTTTGTGGGGGCATATGCACCCACAATCCTGAATTATGCCCCCACAATGATGAAAATGCACCCACAAGTCTTTTACAAGGCTGCAAGCGTCCTTTCGAGAGCACGGTGCCCTTCGCATGCTCTAACGGCGTCCTCCTGACCGTCTCGCGTTCATGGATAATATAGCGTTTTTAATCACTTGACGCCCTTTTACGAGAATGGCGCCCTTTTCATGATCTCAAGGCGCCCTGGTAACCACCTGGCGCCCCCACGTCCCCACCAACGTAGCACTACTGACTGTGCGGCGCCCTTCTGGCCTCTTAGCGCCCCTGGACCACATAGCGTTTTCAATCACTCGGCGCCCTCCTAAGAGAATGGCGCCCTTTTCATCGTCTCACGGCGCCCTCGTAACCGTCTGGCGCCTCCATATTTGGTGCCCCTCCTACTGGATGGCGCCTCTCTACATCTTTTTTACGTCCTTCCATTCAGTTTCCACTTTTAAGCGTGTATTTGCTTAGTCAGACACGTCACTTGAAGCGCCCTTCGGCTAGCAATGCTATCAAATTCGGTGTTAATTTGGGCTCCCACATAAAGAATATCCATCGCGCCCCAAAACGGCCTGGCGCCGGGCGCCCCTACAGCTGGGCACCCACAATCATTTTAGGAAAATTACACCCCTGCCCTGCCCGTATGTTTGGTTAACTTTAAGCTGATCCTCAAGTACCTATGTGTTTGTCTCTTCCTTATTGTCGTTTGATAAATTCCATTTATCCTACATGTATCAAATTCCCAAGAAGCCATCGCAGTACTAATCAGTGGCGAATCCCAGGGGGAGGTCACATGGGTCATGACTTAGGGCCTGAGGTCACCACATGCCTGCCAGGAGCACCACAGGCCTGACAGCCGACAGGGGCACCACAGGCCCGCCAGGGGTACCACAGGCCTAGCAGGGGCACCACGGGCCTGTCAGTGGCACCACAGGCCTGTCAGGAGCACCATCGGCCTAGCAAAAGCACTACAGGTCTTCCAGGGGCACCACAGACCTGCCAGGGGCACCAGAGGCCTGCCAGGGGCACTATCGGCTATACAGGGGAACCACCGGCCTCGCAAGGGCATCATGGGCCTGTCAAGGGCACCACAAGCCTGTCGTTGGCCCTTTAGGATTGTCAGGGGCACCACAAATCTGTCAAGGGCACCTGCGTTCTAACAGGGGCACCACGGGCCCGCCAGGGGCACCACAGACCTAGCAAGGACACCACAGGCCTGTCAGCGCCCATGGGCACCTAAGTCATGTCAGGGCCACCGTAGGCTTTTCAGGGGGCAGGGTAGGTAGATAGGTACCACAGTCTTTCCAGGGGCACCAGCGGCCTAGCAGGGGCACCAGTCATCACATGACTAACCAAAAATAAAGAAAATAAAAAAAACTGAAAATAGGGCACCACCAAAATTAAGTGGCCGAAATCCGTTGAGGTTTTAATTTTGGGTATAGGTAGGGGCACCACTTCGATTCATGATCCTCCCCTTGGAGTTTTCCCGAATCCGCTCCTGGTACTAATACATCAAATTTAAGGGGGGCACCTTGCTATTGGTGCCCCCCTTGCAGAATTCAAGGGGGGGCACGGTGCCCCGGTGCCCCCCCCGTTCCGCCGCCTATGGATGCTAGCATGGTTATCAGCACTCCTCTCCATAACACCACAGGCTAGCTAGTCTTGGTTCATGAGATATTGCGCTGCCGACTCACGGCTCAGCATCACGTCCCGGACATTCAGTTAGAGTCACACCACCACTGCGGCCTCTAGTCCCTCCAATATCCGCCAGCCAGTCTCATCTGACCGTGCTGTTCCTCCACAGGGCTCTAAACCCAGCCACCTGGCTGCAATCGGGCGGGTCATGGACGACGGCGTTCGGCGTCGTGGTCGACCTCGTCATGGTCATCGTGGCCATCACCATCGTCTGCAAGTGCATCAGCTGCTGCCGCGCCGCCTGCTGCTGCCGTCGACAGAGCAGTCAGAAGGTGTAGGCTGCGCAATGCGCATCCCGGTGCAGACCACCAGAGTGTATCGCATCGCTAGGTGCGTGCAGCAGGTCGCACGGTAGTGACTAGTGAAGAATTGATATGCGTGGTATTGTCTCGCTGGAAACAAAACCATACGCGCCAAGTGGCACAAACAAGTTTAGTGGCAGCACAGAGAGGCATGCATAATACTCTCCAAAATGGTCTGTTTAACTTGCCATGAAAATGTCACTGCCTACCGCGCGGGTGAGAGATGGGTCTTCTCTGACGAAGACGTCAAGCTGTGCTCTATTTTATGGCACAATTTTCGGCCCCGGGGCGGGGGTGGTGTCAGTGGGACTGCCAAAATCGCCATGTGTGCGACAGACACGGTCCGGGGCCGCCATTGTTTGTTGGGCGCCCGCCAGGAGAGGCTGTGATAAACTGGAGAGTTTTATACGGTGACTAGTCAGTCGACGGGGTCGGCCAGTGCGCAACGGTTCATAGGGAAGCACCATGCTGCCGCACACATTGTGTACGCCCATGGTCCTTTCCAAAGAGTCGTCACAACGAAGTATAGACGAGCATGTTCGGTGACATACATATGGTTGAGATTAAGTTAATTTTGTATGTTTATCTGGCCGTTGATGGTCCAGTTATATTTAAGGTGCTGAATGAGGTATGAACGTTTGATTGATGTGGTATTTATTGAGATGAGAGTGGGTTAGCTGTTTGATATGTTTATCTTCGTGACACGACATTGAGCGTGCTAAGACACATTTTTATATGCAAATATATGTATTATTCACATAAACATTCATGTGCGTTTTGAAAATAGTTCTGGACGGAACTGACTAGAGCGAAATGCACTTCGTTCGCAAGTAACACAAAATGTAACACAATACCGACCGGTGTAGTCTAGCCCAAAAGCCGTGAACAGCACAAGAGCGCAAACATTGGAAACCCACAGTGCGACACACAGTGCTAAAAAGTCGGCCGCTGCCATCTGCGCACCCCTCATCGCTCGGTGTGGCCAGCCGGCAGTTGGACTGCTCAGGTACGCTGTTTGGTCCCAGATCACGATACCCGCACGCTTCACCCCAGTCCAGGCCCGCGGCACACAGCGAGATCACGTTACATACACACGTGGGGTGTGGAAACATCACGCAGTGCTGACCCAGTAGGCGATCATAACGCCGGTGTGGTGGGTGGTGGGTTCTCACTTACTAAGTTACTACGCTTCCCCTTCCCACCCCTAAGACAAGATTTGCTGTCACTACCGCTTACACAGTGACCTGATAGCGGTAGCAGTGACTAGTTATGACAAGCTCTTAGTCACAGCTCAGAAGAGTGATTCACAAATCAAAATACTGAAGGATCTGGGGCCCCAGCTCGGTAGGACTTCCGTGGTCACCAACCGCATCAGTGACCACAGACACTGACGAAGATGCGAACCGCAAAATGCGCCTCTCTTAGAACCCAACATAAACAGATACCAGTTTGAAAAGTGGCACATGATAAGGCAATAGACATATGACTAGAATACGCAAGTGCATTATATATGTAGAACTGACTGTAGGCTAGCTCTGGGAAGTGGGAAAATACACAAGCAGGGCACTGATTTCACAGAAACCCAAACAAACTATGAATATGACTTTGGCCATGGCAAGCTCATTTGTAGCTTTTATGTCAAAATCCGAGAGGTCACTCCTTCGTCCATTATTCTATTTTTTTAGATGCATTCATTTCTTTTAGGAAACATGAGCTTTAAATCACCAGACATGGCGCGATACTTTCCATGACTGCACTTGATAACCGCAGACAAAGGCGACCATTGACTGGTCAGCCCACGTTTGACTGCCCAACTGTAGACAAAGCTTGTAGTAGGCGCAGTCTTTCCAACGAAGGTTTGGTAGTCTCTCCCAGGGTCTTTAAAGCTGGGCACTGTGTAGCCACTTTACCCAGAACCATCGTACGCTGCAGACTGTGGCTGTTGACCACTTATCATCGAATAACCTTTTACGAACTGTTCGAGGCTGCAGACCGCAGATATAATGTAGACATTCTCTACGTATTTATCTTCCCGGGCACTGCCGTACCGTCAACATCTACAGGTCATTAGTCTGCAGACTGTAAATGTTGTACAGTCTGCAGACTGTAGACTGTAGACATTGACCACAGCTGTCGGGTTTTCTCGCATCTGTTCAGAGGCTGTAGAGATTGACCACAGCTATCGGGTTTTCTCGCAGCTGTTCAGAGGCTGTAGAGATTGACCACGGTGGTCAGGTAGTCCTTCCTGGATCGGTTTACGGCGTCCTCGTCATTGGCGTGAACCGTGCTGGTAGAGCGGGGTGTGACCGAGCTCACCGATCCGCCCCTGCTGCCGCCACGGTGCCACTCTGTAAGACAAACAAAAGGGTCAATGAGATGATTTGATATTAAACAATGCGAAATCAAAAGTGAAAATAATTCCATCAAACAGAAACTTGAGAAATTTTGTTCCACCTCAAAGGGCGCACCCCATCAGGGAAATGGCCATCGCCTCATGATCGAACCACTTGACTCAGAGTTGACTAAGCCAAACATCCTGAATTTGTTCACACCTCATCTGACTACACATTGGCTAGACAAATATTGACTCAGATTCGGGAGGCCGGTGGATCACAGGGTGGCCGAGTGCCACCTATTCCAGCCATGAGCTGAAACTGGCGGTGACCGGCTCACAGATCGTTCGTCACTAGTCCGAAATGTCGCCATTCCGCGGTCGGGGAGCTGTCAGACTAGCGGTGAGGAATTGTGGAGCCCACCATATACCCGTCGTCAGAGAGCCGTCAGCAGTCAGTCGTCATTCACATAGCTGTCGTCTGCCCGTAAACTATTTTTTTTTTTTGCTCGTCGCCAAAAATTAGTCAGATGCACGCGTTAGCCTTGTGATCGGCTGTTTACGTGCATGATGACGGTTTATGCAGCTCTTGCAACCCCGGAGACGCAATGGAGCAGGCACACTGACAAAACATAATATTTCAGAATCCAAAAACGAGCATCAGTATGTTACCACGGGCCTACACTATATTGGCGTCCACAGCCATATTTTATATTCAACAGCCCGCCCACCATCCGACCGTCTCCCACTCGCCCCGTGCACTACCTTGGTCGTCGGTCAGGTGGCGGCGGATACTCTGGTCCAGTTCGTGTCGTATCCGACGGGAAAGCTCGGCTGACGGCTGGCGTACGGACTCCCCGGGGGAGCTGGTGGCACAGGGGGCCGGCCGCACCGCCACCACACTGCTCGCCAGCGCCTTGAAGTCCGGCAGCGCCGCCGGTTCCCGCAGCTCCGGCAGCAGCGGCACGATGCTGGTTGTGCCGATAGAAAGTCACCGTCAATTGCAGGCGAAAATGGGATGGAAGGATACGCATGCATGGAGAGCGAGAAAAGACGCTATACCGTTGTTGAAGACAAGGCATTATAACCATTGTAAAATTCATGCAATTAACTTGTTCATCCTTAAAATAATTTATTTGTTAGCTAAAGTAGGAACGATTGCCGAATACAGCGGTTACCGAATAGATCTTTTTTATTTTAACCCCCCCCCCCCCCCCAACGCCCACTCGGATTAGTAAAATAATCTTGCCTCTGCCTTTCTATGAATAGCACCAAGGAAATACAACAAAATCAGACAATTCGTTCACTCTAAAAAAAAAACTTATTAAGCATCAGACTAAAAATTAATGTAAAGTAAAATATGACACATATCGTTAAAGGAAGCGATAAAATAAGTAAAACGCAAGCAGTGAATAAAACAAAATACAATTGACATGACGACATATACGTGCGTATAAAATGCATTACAGCGTGTCATGCAATGACAATTAATGTGTTAGTTACGACAAAAAAATGTTAAATGCAGTATAAAATTACATGTAATGTAAGCTGTAACCATCACCAAAGCCCTAAAATAACCTTAAGCATGCAAGATAGTAGCAACCATAAGCCCAAGCACCCATATCCAGCTGAGAATGAGCCCTTACTCCATTCACAAGCAAAAACAATGAAGAGGAAACAAGTAACGGTGCAAATCCAATCCAGTCATGTTGAACGGTCTGGAGAAACCGGAATTCAAAACGGTTTAGAGCCGAAAACAAAAGGTATTGAAATGAAATGCGATAAAAACTTAGCACGATAAAAATATCCATCAGCATATCATGTAAAAAACAAAGTGACTCTTATTTAAGCAAAGCCCGCCGATCCAAACAATGAGGGAACCACAAAGCAAACAAGCGGCAGGCATGTTCAGGGCATTCACCACACCACACACCACACTAGTCTCACCGCTGTGCGTCCATTGACAGGTCGGCGGCTCGCACTGTCGACCGGTGGCCGCCCGGCCCCACCGGGCGCTCATTGACCGGCGACGCGATGGAGCGCCGGGTGGAAGGCGCCGACAGCAGCTGAATCTGCTCACACTGCTGAACGAACGTCTCCTCCCTCTTATCGCGAGCTAACGAAACGGACCGCCCGCGTCAGTGCGCTGATTTCTGGTCAGTTCTCAGCAGTGAGTCTCAGTGGTCAGTCGGGCACCGTACGCTGACACAATGCTGAAAACCTATCGGCCATTCTTTCATCCGATTTTATAATGTTATTTTCTCTTATAAAAAAAAATCATTTCTCATTTAAAATGGTTATATCGTAAAATCTCCCATCAAAGTCGAGCAAAATAAAATATTGGACTGTCCTCATAGTCATGTCCATCAAAAGGATATGCCTAAAAAGGATAACGGTAAGCTGCAAGGCCGTTTGAGAGTTCCAAGTAGTTATGGGCCATCCAACGGGCTGGCTCATATTAAATTCTGAGCTATAAGTCAAGTATGGATGGTTTATCGATAGTTGCCCAGGGGAAGGCTGCATCCAGCGCAAGTCAGCCGCTGGTGAGCGTTGTCACGATAAAAAGATCCATAGTATACGAGCAGTCACTACGGTAGCACGTATTCCAATAAAAGGAAAGGTAGCCAGACCCAGGGTATATTGAGGCAAGACCTGTAATATTCCGCCGTGATACCAGCTAAGAGAGCCATTAGCTGACGGGGCAGCTTATGTGACGCAGCACCGCGCACTCATTCACACCAGTGCAGTCCCAAGATTACCTAACGGCCCGTCACCATGTTACCAGTGTTAAACTAGCCCACATGCATGCATCCGCTCCTCAAACATGCACCGATCGCCATGCTAATCTCCCCGCGCAGCAGTCTGTTTAAACACCGGCCAGCAGAGCAGTGACCAGACCCGTGACCTGACCCGTCTGCATGTACAACCGGTCACTCGATCCGTGAGTCCATAGCCTAACCGCCCCGGTAGCCATGCCAGCCACACGACCCGTGACCGAATCCACGAAATTATTCGGTAGCCGACCTGTGATCTGGTCAGTGTATCAATCCGTCACCTATCCCGTGACCCGATCCGTGATCGAACCTACGACCCGGTGAGTAGGCCAGCTAGTGACCTGACCGGTGACCCGCCCGGTGACCTGTGTCGGTCGTCTGGGTACTCACCGGAGACGGCGGCGCCGAGTCGCACCATCTGCTCCGTCAGCAGGCGGCGCGTGTCGGCCAGGTCATCGGCCAGGTGCTCGCGGCGCCGCGCCTCGCCCTCGAACTGGGGCACAGGCAGAGACCAAGGGTGAACAGCTGAGACATACGCACGTTACATACCGCGACTCGTCCTCGAACAGAGACACAGGCGGGCTCAGGAGTGAGACATACTCGTGTGTTGAGACTTGAGACATCAAACAAAATACCATGTTCCTCGCCTTTGAAGTGAGATAGAGGAGTGGGTCGGGACGAGCACTAAGAATATAAGCAGCACGTCTCGCCTCTCCTTCGAACCGAGACTCGGGAAGCAAGGTCGAAGGTCCAAAACAAACATGTCAAACACCCTGTCATGTCCTCGAACTGAGACAAAATTTGTAGGAATGTGAGGAAAAACGTGACCATCTTAGCAAGCTCCGACATAATGCTGAATGAGAAGACCCAAACTAACTATAAGCAATCACAGTCAACCCTCATCCACCAGCTGTCCAGAGTTTATCTCCGGTGACATTGTCTTACCTCCGTTTCGATCAGTCGCCGGAGCTCCGTCTGGCTGGCCGGCGGCCCGGCCGGCGGGCGGTGGCGCAGCTCCGACAGCAGCCGCTCCAGCTGGCGACTGACGCGCGCGCTGGCGGCGTCACTGCCGGCGCTCAGCCGCTCCAGCTCCAGCTCCAGCAGGCCGCGCCGCTCCTGCTCCTGGCCGACCGTCTCCTGCAGACGCCGCAGCTGGGACAGCAGCGCCGACTCCAGGCCCGGAGAGCGCGGGGTCGGCGGCGGCCGCCGCGCCTCCCGGCACCGCGCCCGCAGCTCCTGAGTCTGCTGCTCCAGCCGGGCTGAACGCTCCTGCTCCTCAGACAGGCGCAGCGTGGCCTCTGCGTGCGCCAGCTCCAGCGCCTGCAGACGACGTGTCTGCGCCCGCGGCGGCTCTGCGCGCGGCGGCGGCGGCTCTGAGCAGGAGGTGGGCTCAGACCGGTCGGTGGGCGGCGGCTCGACGTCCGACGCCTCTCCCAGTCGCCAGTCCGGGAACACCCCCGACTCAGCCGCCTCGGGGAATACCCGCCGCGAGCAGTGAGCCCTGCGCGGGCCGCCGCCGCCGCGCCGCCGACCGTCGCTCGGTCTGTTCACCTTCACCTCCTCGGACTGGCAGCGGCGCGGGGCCGGCGCCGGGGTGTCCGACTGTCCCCCTCCGCTCACAGCCTGGTGTCGGGTCAGTCTCGCCTCCGACTGCACCCGGCGCGGGGTGGAGGTCACCATCCCGCCCTGGACCAGCTCCTCCTCCTCTGTGGCCGTGAGGTGGTCCAGGGCCGCCCCCAGAGCAGAGGCTCGCCTGGAGCGGCCGCCGCCGCCGTCCGCCGCGCCCAGAGCCGTCAGCTGCCGACTGAGCTGTAGCTTCGCCAGCTGCCGCGTCAGCTGGGCCACCCGCGCCTCCATCTGGTCCTGTCTCTCGGCGGCCCGGCGCGCCGTCTCGCTCAGAGAGCTCTGCAGCTCAGCCACGTGTGCCCTGCTCTCCCCGAGCTCGGACCGCAGCTGGGTCAGCTCCCGGGAACGCTCCTCCCTCTCAGCGTCCTCCGCCCGTGAGGACGGCGACCTGTCCTCCGAGGAGTCCCGGTCCACCCGCGCCGCCCACCGACGGCCGCGGCGGCCGTCCGGTGACCTCTGACGGTCCACCTCCCACCTAGCTCTCCGCCGGGCGGGAGCGTCACTCTCTGTCGGGTCCGAGGCACCCCCATCGTCCCATCGACGCCGACCTGACGGACGCCGAGGCTCCTCTGGACCACAGTGGTTGTCTCTCGACTTCTTGCTGAAGGAGACAGGCTTTTCTTCTACTTGAATACCCACGCTGGTCACACACTGACCGTGGCTGCCGGTCGCCTTATCCACGGCTCTGCCCTCACGCCGTGGCTGTCCGAAGGACTGGTAGGGGACGCCCGATGCAGGCTGGGCCAGGCTGCAGGTTGGACACGACCGGTCGGGTCTTCTGGCGTCAGAGGTGCACAGTTCCCCGTTTGCGGACGGCCCAGGACGGTGAGAGTCTCCATGGTAGGCGGACTGACAGTGGTGGTGGGCGTCTGTTTCCCGGCATCGCTCACAGCCAACGGCGGGTGGCGTGTCACGCGGCTGGGAGAGCCTGAAAAGAAAATGAAGTTCAAAATGTCGTTTTTAAGCAGGGACAATCACAACTCATTGGATCTCATAGACGTAAGTGTGCCAAGATATGAATGCGGTACAAGCAAGATGGTAGCATTTCTTCAGTTGAATCTAGATTACCATCAGACACGAGAGCAAATATCCAGTCTGTCGTCTCCGCATTGGCGCCGCGTTGGGTTATTTCTCTCTCTCCCAGTTACCTGTCCGCGTGTCTCTGCGCCAGCTGTGCGCGCAGCTCCGCCAGCTGCGACTCGGCAGCTGTCCGCGCGGCGCCGGCAGCTGCCAGCTCGGCCGAGAGAGCAGCCAGCTGCTGCTGCTGGTGCTCCGACCGGAGCCGCTCGGCCGACAGCGCCGCCTCCGAGCGGTCCACCTGGCGACGCTGCAAACATACGCAGGGGGAGGGGAAAGGTCGGCACAAGGTACAGCTGCTGAGTATCTCGGGCCAAGTTTGATAATTTAATGTACACCTAGGCGATTTTTTGCGAGTGAGCAAGTCGTTTCAGCCTCGGCCAAAAAGGGACATGGTGATGAAATATTTTGCAAACAAAGTGACCTTAACTTAGGTAAGTGAAACTGAACTGATACCAGGCTTCTCAAAAAAGTTAGACGAATTTATAACTAATATATTTAAGGGTGTATCAGTGTAACAAAAAAGAATTGGGTATCACCTGAAAGCCTTTATTAAAGACATTTCGTTTAAAGGTAATTCGACCCTCGGCAGTCGCCTTTTTGAGCCGCGCCGAGGTCATGTTCGAGATGACTCCCGTTTTGCTCGATGCACAGTTTAGCCCGGCGCAGCGCGACCTCTGCTGCAGCACGACACATGGAAAGCTGCAAACGGCGCACCGCTGACTTCACTGCATCCTTATGATCTTCGGAACTTTGTGAGTGGTTTCGGTACACCTGGGACTTGAGGTGGTCCTATAGGAAAAAGTCCGGTGGGTTTAAGTTCGGAGAATTCGCCGACCAGGTGTGTCTCGAACCTCGGGATCACGCGCTGCCCGAAGCGCTCCTACAGCCCGCCCGGTTTTCTTTAGCGGTATTGGCGTGGCACCGTCTTGCTGGAACCATTGGATCTTAAGCATTTCCGGATCTCTGCTCATCCTGATACTGCAGAACCCTCCAAAACGTCGCCAGAGCCACACGATATCGCTGACCATTGACAGTCTGAGTAGCCGCATCTCTCACACGAGTGGTGTTCGCCGTGAGCCTTTGATTGGGTTTACGGCCGCCGCTATGTTCCTTGAATTGCGTGAACCTATTGTTAACACTTCCTCGAGCCAGAAACTTGTCAATAATGTGAAAATTTTGCTTCAAGATGGTGCTCTCTTTTCCCTAAAGTGTTTGCGGATCTTCCGTGGTGTCGAACCGACCGACCTAGTCTGCGAAAGCAGAATTTCACGAGTTTTGTTTTATCTTCCTAAGACCACGTCTTCATGTTTTAGGCTCAACAACCATGGTATCATATAAATATACTAAAAATTCTTCGTTTTTCCACGTGCATTGATTTTGCTTAAATGTTGTTAATTGTTGTCTATTAGCAAAAGAAATTCGTCTAACTTTTTTGAAGCCCGGTATAATCGTATGGCTATGATACGGCAATCCTGTTCTATCATTCATCGTGACAGCTTACCTTTTCGTCATCGGATGTTCTTTTCTCTTCCTCGAATACCGCCTTGACTTTCAGCAGATCGGCCCGTATCTCGGAGACCTGGTGCTCGTAGTCGGACGTTATTCTGGTCAGCTCTTCCTGCATGTGGATATCAAGCTCGCTGGTCGCCACGCGAGGGGTATTTGGTCTGGAAATGGCCGTCTCACTGGGAGTTAACTTGCTATGAATCGTGTCTCTCCTCTCCTTCTCAGTGGCATCCAGCTGGTTCTGAAGCTGCGCTATCCTCTGCTCCGCCGCCCGCTCCGCCTCCGCCAGCCGTGCCGCTGCCTCTCGTCTGATCTCAGTCTCTGCCTGAGCCCGCGCCTCCCGCGCCTGTCGAGTCCCCTCCTCCCACCGCTGGCGCTCCTCCCTCATCCTCCCCGCGAGCTCCTCCTCCAGTCTGGCAGCCTCAGCGGCCACTCTGGCGTCGGCCTCGGCCCCGAGCCGCGCCGCGTCTTCGGCTGCCTTCCGCGCGTACTCGGCCTCTAGGTTGTCTTTGAGCCGGGCCAGCGTGCCCTCGGCTCTCTGCAGCGTGGCCGATATTTTGGCGTCCACCTCTGCGCGTACCTCGGCGATGCGCGCCTCGGTGCGCTGCTGGTGCTCCCGCTCCAGGGCAGAGCGCAGCGCGGCCCGCTCTGCCTCGGCAGAGGACCGGAGCTCGGTCAGCTCCCGCTGGTGGGACGACTCCAGCTCGGCCGTCACCGCCGCACGCACAGAAGACTCGAGCTCAGCGCGGATCTCAGCGGCGAATTCGTCTCGAGACGATGAGTGGGAGACTTCGGTTTGAGTGTCCGATTCCATACATTCGTGTTTACGCTGCAACCGTTCGATCTCATCTTGCAACGCTTTGATTCTTTCATCAGTTTCGGTCGACTGGGCTTGCAACTTCTCGTATTCTACCTGCATCCCGTCTCGCGTCTCAGTCACTCGTCTATCCAGCTCAACCTCAAGACGTTGAGCCCCGTTCTGCCGTTCTTTCTCTAGCTCTTCCTGCATCATTTTTATTTTCTCTTCCGCCTCTAACAACCGTCCCTCCCACTCTTGGCGATATTGAGATTCAATTTCCTCCCGAAGCGCCGAAATCCGGGCATCGAAATCCGAGGACCCATCCACAGCACGATGCTGAAGCTCGTCAATCTGCTGTCTAAGCGCGTTCGTCGAAGTTTCCGCCTCCGCACGTACATCAGCTAGCTGGCGTTCAGTCTTCAGCTGCCACTTCGACTCTAACTCCTTCCTCTCCGCCGCAAACTTGGCCTCTGCCTCAGCTAACGCATCTGCGACCCGCGCCTCCGCCCTCTGTTCCCACTCGGTCGCCAACTCAGCCTTCACTGACGCGAGCTTGGCTTCCTCGGCGGCACGCAGTTCTGCCAGCTGTGTGTCTGTTCGAATTGAGTTCTCGTTTCGTAGATCTGTCCTTAGTGCAGCCAGCTTTTCTTCCTGTCCAGCCTGTGCTTGAGCAACGGCCGTATCCAATTTCTTCTGCCACTCTTCTTCCACGCTCTTCCTCACTTCTGCCACTCTGCCGTCTGCTTCATCCCGCATCCTCTGTATCTCAGCATCCAACTTACTCTTCCAGTCATCACTGACTTCATCCTTTATTTTCGCCACCTTCTTTTCCATTTCATCCGTCAGCTCCACCACCCGCGCCTCCATCTTCTTCTTCCACTCCTCTGCCACCTCTTCCCTCGCCGCCGCCAGTCTCGCCTCCACATCCCCCTCCTCCTTCCTCTCCCTCTCGGCTTCCGCCACTCTCTCCCTCCACTGTTCCTCCGCCTCTGCCCGTGCCGCCGCCACTCTGTCGTCCGTCTCCCTGGCGGCCTCCGCCAGACGCTGCTCCATCCTGGCGCTCCACTCCTGCTCGGCGTCCCGCCGCGCGGCCGCCAGCCGGTCGTCCACCTCCGCTCGCACCTGGGCGATACGCGCCTCGGCCTCGCGCGTCAGCTGCTGAAGCTCCTGGCGGGACCGCTCGGCTGCGGCCTGGTGCTGCCGGTCGGCCGCCGCCGCCTCCTGCCGGGTAGAGAGCCGGTCACAGCGGGAGGGGGTAGGGTAGCGGGAGCGCTCGGCGGCCGCTTGGTGTTGCCGCTCGGCCGCCGCCGCCTCCTGCCGGATAGAGAGTCGGTCACAGCGGGAGGTAGGGGCGACGGGACCGCTCGGCAGGTGCGGCCTCCTGTCGGAGAGGGCAGAGTGGGGGTCAAAGAGAAACGGTTACAGAGGGAAGGTGTAGGTGAAATTAGCGGAGTACAGAGAGGAAGGGACGTTAGGTCAAACGAGAGAAGCGGGATCAAACTACACGACAGACACATGAGCCGAGTTACAGGGTGGCGGCGTCTGGTTCGGTGTCAGTAAATGAGCTTTGGATAAAATCCGATCGGCCAAAAGAATGTCATCAGTGTCACCTCGAGCAGCACCAAGTGAAACGATGTCCCACTAACAAATCACCCGCGATCACATATTAAATGCTCTGCTCACCTGCAGTTCGGAGAGCTACCGTTTCTGCTCGTCGACCACAGCCTGCAGCGTCTCGGCTGTAGTGGCTGTCTCCGACAACTGGCTGAGCAGACTCTCACGCGCAGTCCGGGTCTCAAATAGGTCCTCCTGTTGACAGACACACTGTTGAAAAGCCAGACCCTACACCATGCGACGGGCAAGTAATTACAATAAGGAGCCAAAAGCGCGGTAGTCCATGACATGTTCATTAAACTGTTTCCGATATGAGCAGCGCTGGTCGTTTCTAGGAAACTGAGTCTGACCTGCAGCGACTCGGCGCGTTTCTGGTGACTGTCGCGCAGCTCCCTCTCGGCAGCCAGCTGCTCCCGCAGCTCCTTCACCATGTCCTGCAGCTGGGAGGCAGCGTCCAAATCTGAAAACAGCGGGCACAGGTCAGGACCTCGGCGAAATAAGGTTCAAACTTTTACCGTGGTCTGTCGCTGAGGGGCAGCGTCTGAATATGAAAACGGGACAATAGCCAGCACCCCGACAATATATAGGACCCGGGCTGAAAAGCGTCGAAAGTTATCAAACGCAGAACATAATGGCATAAAACTCGAACACCAAAGAAAATGTTATAAAAAAATATCCTAAAACAAAGCAAAGCTTCACTCGATGAGCCGCGCCCAGCTCGCCCAGCATCCAACATCGATGGTCGATTGGAAAATTCGTTACCGTGTCTCGCAGAGCGCTGAGTCGATCCTTTGGAAGAAGACGTGAAGATGTCGTCCTCGGGCTGATGGTCGCCGTCGGAGTCCTCTCCCGAGTAGCTAAAGAAAGAGGGAGAGTCCAGCTGATATACACATTACACGAACGCAAACAGTACAGCAGCCAACTCACGTGGATGGTACATAAGGCAAGATAACGCTAAGGCAGCAGACCGATGAATGAATTTCTTTAAAACGATCGCACTGCTGGCGATTATCGTAAGGCGGGAAAATCACCATCGAGCCGTCGAAAACGAGAAACAATCGTATGATGTATCATTTGTAACAATCGTATCTTTTGTAATGTATATCTGAGATATCAAACAAAAAATGGAAAGCTAGAGCGCTGTTAACCCTCGCCGGCACACGCCATTTTGCGTCCTTCGACGGCACGGAGTACGACCCGCCTCGCGTTTGGCCCCTAATCGAGGTCGAACTTCGCGGAAAAACGAGCGTGTTGCCCGTGACAAGAGGAAGCCTATGATACCCAAGTTTAAGGTCCTAGGTCATCGGTTGACCTTAAAGGTCAGGTCAATGACCCAAAAGTCGGGAAAATCGGAACCTATTAGAACGTCGTTATGTGTGGCTGCTGAGGGGTTTTTCGGGGTGCTGATCAAGAATAGCATGTTAGTTTTCATCACAGATGATGTCTTTATGCATTTAAACTAGGTCAGGTCTGGTCAGGTCAACCAGTAGGGGTCCTGCTGGGTATTCGTAGTACGTGTCAACCAACTCTGACAGCTTCGTAGCAAGTTACGAAGGCACCAAAACCACTTCGTAAATGTTCAAATGGTTGCTAAATTCGAATTCAGCTCCAAAAACTGGCCTACAAACATGTAAAACTCGAAAAAGTGAACCGAGGTCATCAAAGGTCAATGACCTGACCTGACCTTCATGTGACCTTCACATACACCCTAATGCATGGGAGATACATCAAATCACATGTTTGAACGCTTGAAACCACGAAAAGACTGCAAACGCGCGGCTAATGCGAGCCGACATACACCGAATCGTGATTCCGGCCAGACATGGTCTCAAAAAGTAGGTCACAGGTCAAAGGCCATTTGGGTCAGGGTCATGAAATTTTCATGGTTTGTGTAAAATTGATCGACGCGAGGGTACTGAAAGTTTCGTCGCGATCGGCCGCTTTCTACGCGAGTTATTTGCGAAAAGCCTTGGGGGGGGGAGGGCAAAAACAAAAAACACCATCCATTACGTTAGAGAAGGTTGCATCATCCCCCCCCCCCCCCTGCGCCGGTGAGGGTTGATATAAACAATTAACTTGGGAATGCAATGACAGCCTGAAACAACTATAAAGCTTGATGAAAATGGGCAAGTTATGAAAATTAATGTAATCGTATGACTAAAATCTTTATAAAGGGCCATCTCATTCTCCAATACAGGAGACGACTGTAAACAAGGCACGAGGATGCCAGCGATAGATGATTTCAGCAATGGCGATTTTTACAAATAAAAAGACAAAAATTAACACCACTGAACACAAGGTACATAGATATAGGCCTAAAGCGACACCTGAGAACATGCTAAATTGTCAATATTGGGGTTAACATGAGCGTTTGAACCTCCTTGTGCTAAATCATGAAACCATGCGGTAACGACTGTTTGAAAACCAATGCAGCCACGTGCGGAATTATCCGTGAAGTTCTGAGACCATTTTGCCAAGAATATCCATGGGCTTTTTTCCAAACTTGTTTCAAAATCCGCAAACATACTTCAAAGGGAAGAAGTGGGCAAAACGACAGGAGAATAGTCGCTACGACCAGCACCGCAATCGGGTGAGTCTAAATATAATTTGAAGTTCATTTTAGATAAACCTAGTCCCCAACTTCAGCAAAAAGCAAATTGCCAGCGCCACCTAGGCCCTGAAAGTGTAACAAAGAGATAGGTACAGAAGGTGATTTTTGATAAGTTGAAAGCAAAACAAGATGGTATAGTATAAGCTATGCCCAAATAATAAAATAAAAAATGATTGATATGGAATAAACAGATGTATCTAACCAAAGTGGCATTAGCATTTAGCAATACATGGTCAATGGTGAAGGCATAGGGTAGCTGGGGCTGGCTCCTTTTAGATTTAGGCCAGCGTTTTAGCCGGCCAGCGTCTCACGGAACTAAGAGACAAGAATTGAGTGATTCAAATGTTTCTACTTCGCAGCTACTCAAAGTAAGGCCTGTTGTCGACACCGACCCACCGAGGGCATACCGAATCCTCACCAAGCGACTGCTGTATAAGCGAAGGAAGATGGGAATCGACACGCACGGCATTCGGACGGACATAGGACCAGTGAGTATGTAGTGTCACTACAGAACCAGGGATAATGACGTAATTAATGCTTCATAATTAGCTAGCATGTTGCTTGCTTGCTTGTTGTGTTTGCGACCTGCCGCCAGTGGCGACTTCAGCCGTGGACTAGCATGTTTATTGTTTACGCTCTATGATAATTAAAGGCAGAAGACAGAAATTATCGTAAGTTCAACGACACTTCTCAGGTGCCTAACCCAGGACATCGTTGCAGAATACCACTGCTAAAATATTTAACTGACAAAGAAAATGTCATCAATTCTAATTCCCACAAACTTCTTTCTTAATGCATCAATACTAAGAAGTTCGAAAACAGATCAACCTGCACCCTCGTTTCCTCATACACAGCCAGCGCTGCGATTTCAGGACACGGAGAGTCTGAAGGACTGGAAGGCGTGTCGCCAGCGGCAGCCGTCGCCGGCGGCCGCGCTCGAGCCGTCGGCCGCCCAGCTGAAGCGGCTGATCTCCGCTGAGGAGCTGACTCACTCGCTGGCCGAGCTGGAGCGGTCGGCCAGCCGGGCGCTGGGTCAGCCGCCCCCAACAGCAGCAGTGACAGAGGAGCGCCCCGAGCTCTCCAGCTCCCAGCTGGTGGAGCAGGTGCACGAGCTGGAGCGCTCGCTCACAGAGCTGGCGCCGCCGGCCGCACTGCCGCCGCTGCAGCCCTGGGTGGCCGTGCGCCGCGCCGACCGGACCGCCGGCGGAGCGGTTGCCGCGGCCGGCCAGACGCCCGGCAGAGCCAACAGCGTAGCGGCGGCCGGCGGCGGGGGCGCGCCGGCGCTCGGTCTGACCCGGCCCACAGGCCAGGCCGCCGGCGACTTCTGGGTCACCACCAGCCAGCCGCAGGAGTCACCAGTCACATACGCATCGAGACAGACGGCGCCCTACATCACCATCAACAACCAGAAAATACCGGTCCTCATCAGTCAGTACTCGGTGCAGGCCCACCAGAAGGTGCACCACACGATGGCGCCTCAGGTGCAGGAAATATCAGCGTCAGAACCCAGGAACGTCAGTAATGTCATCGGAGAAGAATTGAACGAGTCAAAGATACTGACCCAAACTTTACAGCTCGAACGAAACCAAGTTCAACGGAGTAAGAAGCCAATGCCTGCACCCAAACTTTCACCCATCACTGAACAGGCAGCCAACAACGCGACCGCTGTCCAGCGCAATAATCCCGAGAAGAATGATACTACGCCAGGCCAAAATGAAGAAACAGCTGAACCAGTAAAAGCGCCAGCTGGACCAGACACAAAGGAAGCCGAAGGTAAAGCAGAACAAAATGCTTCCAAAGTCCCCGATCATGCTGCTGAGCCTATTTGCGAAGTTGTAAAAATTGACAGCGAAAAACGAGATTCTATCAGACCTGAAAGAGTAAATGGCGGGAGCAAAGCTACTTCATCAAATAACGCTGCAAGCAAAGAGACAAAAACGAAAAAGCGGAGGCCAACCAAGCCTGCAAACACAGACACCAAAAGAGAGAATCACTCCGACACCGAAGTAGAGACGAACGAACGAAAGCATAAAATCGAAACTAGTTCTCAAGACAAAAGAACATCTTACTCCGACAACACCCAACCCACGAAAGTATTCTTCAAAAAGAGGCCAACGAACCCAAAGATCGAATACGTTGAGTTAGCGGAGCGCAGCACCCAGACAGTGCAGCACACTCAGAGTGAAACGGTGACCTCCCGGGACGCTAAGCCTCCTCCCTCGCCGGAGAGGACGCCCAGTGGACGCTCAAAGAGCGAGCACACCATCCAGCGGAGCGCCGACAGCCGCTCCACCAGCCGCCGGGCCGCTAAGCTGACGTTCGCCGTCAGCGGGAGCGGCAGCGGGGTGGCCGTCGGGCCCGACCAGCCGCCCGTCCGGCCGCTGGTGAGGCCGCTGACCGACCGCACTGTGGCCAGGGCGGCGCTGGCGCCCGGCAGAAACCGCTCCCCGTCACCGCCACTGCGGCCGGCGGCCATCGAGGCACAGCGACGGGTCGGTTCCCCACCGCGGCAGCAGTCTGCCTCCAGCCAGCAGCAGCAGCGGCAGCAGTCTGCATCCAGCCAGCAGCAGCCGCAGCGGCAGTCCGCCTCCAACCAGCAGCAGCAACAGCGGCAGCCGTCCCCAGCGGGCCACCAGCCCCCGCAGAGGCCGTCGGGATCCGGCCATCAGCAGCCGCAGAGGCCGCCGGGGTCCGGCCGGCAGCCGCCGCCGTCAGCGCCGCGCTCCAGTGGCCGCCGATCAGTCCCGGCCACTCCCCGCAGTCAGCGCAGTCAGCGCAGCGGCGGCCGGGGCCCGCCGGGACCGCCGGACAGTCGGGCCATCACCACCACCATCCGACCGCCAGCGCGGCCCGGCAGCGGCCGCAAGACGGCTGCGCGCCGCCGTCTGCAGCGGCTCCGCGGCAAGGTAAAGGAGCCGCCCGGCCACCTGAGCCGCGGCAACGCGTCCAACATCATCACCACGCCCGGCGACAGCGGCGGCACGTCCGAGCGGCGCGCCACCCAGGCCAGCTGCGCCATGTGCGTGGGCGACCAGCAGCCGCAGAACCGCACCGAGCGCGTGCGCCGCGTCATCCACCGGGTGACAGCCGTCATCAGCCCCGACTCGTCACCGCCGGCCAGCCCGGGCCGCTCGCAGCCGTCGCCGCGCGCCGCCGCCCGCCGCCACCGACAGCTGCTGACGCGCATTGACGCGCTGGCGGCGCCGCGCCGGCGCTACACGGAGCAGGCCGACAACCAGGTGCGTCAGACGCGGCCCAACTGGCGGCCGCCGGCGGCGCCGCTGCCCGGCGATCAGCTGTACCAGCGCGCCATGCGCGGCGCCTCCTGCCGCAGCTGCAACATCGTCCGCACGCCGTCACCCATCTCATCCAACCCGTTGTGAGTAGAGCGACCTTATCTTCTCCCAGCTAACTGTAAGTGGATGTAGGCAAAGGCTTTTTTTCGTGCCAAACATTTCTCAGAATTCCCTAACAACAGTTTTGCCGGACAGTCCGCTGCTCGTCTGTTCATTGTGTCGGTGCGCGTTTCACATCCTCTCACACCGACCCCTCGTGCCCACAGCGCGTTTATGGACATCGAGGCCGACGGCCGTCCGCTGGGTCGGCTGACGATTCTACTCCGGGCCGACCTGGCGCCTCGAACAGTCGAGAACTTCCGATCGCTCTGCACCGGGGAGTACGGCTTCGGATACAAGGTGAGCCGGTGCCAAGTGAGCGATACAAAGGTGAACTAATTTTGGCCAGCTTCAGTCAACAGTCACATCTGACCCACAATCCAAACCGCCCACCGCGTCTTCAGTGACGTCTGACCGCATGATCCGCTTCGTCCACAGGGCACACTGTTACAGCGCGTCACCAGAGCCGTCTGACGTTTGACCGTATTTGCTTTACACTCCGTCCACAGGGCACTCTGTTCCACCGTGTCATCCCGCGGTTCGTCTGCCAGGGCGGCGACGTCACCTTCGGCGGCCGGAACAAGCAGGCGCCGCTCTCCATATACGACCGACTGTTCGAGGACGAGAGCTTCGACATGCACCACAGCGAGCCAGGTATCGGACGGCGGAGAAACAATGAGCTAACTTCAACGGGAGACATTGAAAAACTTTTACTTACTTACATGGGGTACGCCTTTTACTGTGTTTCGCACCCATTGGGGCCAGGAGTACGCGCCATGCGGCACAGTATACTTCCAGGCGTCGACTACTAATGCCATCTACGAGTGGGGAACGGAACGCATAGCCCACCGCTGCGCGTTCCGTTCCCCGCTCCTAGGTGGCGTTAGTAGTCGACGCCTGAGAGCATACTGCGCCGCATAGCACAAATTTTCCGTTGCGCGTTCTCTCACATAGATGGCGCTGGTAGTAAGCGCCTGGAAGTAGGCTGTGCCGCAGGGCGCAGAGCTCAGCTTCAGCCAGCGCGGAACGCTTTAGTCGTAAATGAGGCAGTAAGGATTAAATTCGTATGGAATGGGGATGGGGGGGCGGCAGATACGACTGGGGCATTCCACGTCAAATCAAACAAAAATCGGCTGTTTTGCACCTTACCATCAGCGATTTCATTATAAATTTGTGAGCGAGTTCCTGTGTGGCCCCGGACATTACATTGATGTTTTTTGCACATTCTGACTACAGGTCTTCTAAATATAGGGCATCAAATTTTTACAAAATGTTGCATCTTTATATTTTTGAACGACCATAACTTTGGTTGTACTTGTTTGATTTGAATGAAATAAACCTTACTGTTTAGTTAATTTCTTAAGCATTTGTTTAGAATTGCACCTACTTAAATATATGACCTTGAAATTTGCTTAACTCTGTTCTTAAGCACAAATATTAAAATACCAAAAAACACGTCACCTTCGATTTGGCTCATTTTCATATATTTTATTGCCTACCATATTCTTAACAACCTGTGAAAAAATTAGAGTGGGCCATTCATAAGTTTTGAAGAAAATTGCACATATGCAAACGTATGTTAGCACGCGCAGTGGAGGGGGAAGAGTGAATTTCGCCCACCCCTCCTGTTTTTCGCCAATATCTCATAAGATTAATGCGAAATTAATTATGGCTACCTGTCAAGAATTGAATTGGACATCTCATCGTGCAAGCAATAAGAAAATCGGTTCACAACTGTTCTAGTAATAGCGGTGTAAAGTGAACATCCCGTCGCCGCAGCGACGCGGCGACTGGCAGCCGGCGCCGACCGCTACGCGCCGCCTGAATTGTAGACTGTGCCGGGACGGGACGGAACGGTTCCGTCTTTACATCGCGCTCCCTACCGCTGATTACGTTCGATTCGCGTCAAATTTTGTGAGAAGACTAAGAAAGGTACAGGCAATTTTATGGTGAAAGAATTTTGAAAATCGATTGGTAAACAATTGAAATATGAACGTGTAAACACCAGTATAACGCCTTTTGGGGCGACTAACGGAGCGAGCGAGAGGGTGGGCCTCGCACGTGCGAAATCGCGAGGGGGTACCTCCAGCTGACTTGTGCACGGCACCCTACTAACCGGTCTCTAGCGATGTGCCAAATTTGAGCACAATCGGCCCAGCCGCTCTCGAGATCTGGAAGCGGCACCCTGCACGTGCGCACGTGCAAAATGGGTCCCAACTGACTTGTGCACGGCACCCTACTAACCGGTCCCTAACCATGTACCAAATTTGAGCGCAATCGGTCCAGCCGTTCTCGAGATCTGGAATCGACCCCTGCACGTGCGCACGTGCAGCAGCACCCCAACTCTGGCACATAGATATGCATTGCCTAGTGGGTGCCTACCTACATGCCAACTTTCAGCGCAATCGGCCTAGTAGTTACCGAGATATTGCAACAATTACAAAAGTGACACCTCTTCGTTTTCCACGTGGCACGTGCATAAGGGGTCACCCACATGCATCGGGAATAGTGCAATACTTGGTAGAAGGAATGAAGCTACCCTACAAAAATTACCGCGTGTAAATCGGTCAAGTGGTTGCTGAGATATAAGCGTCGCAAAAGCGTGACCACGGCCGGCCGGCCGGCCGGCCGGCCGGCCGCTCATACTCAGAAATTTCCGTTAATCTAAGGAAAGACTACGCTCGCTTCGCTCGCTCCGTAACAAAATTGTGATTGCTGCGTTTCCCGCATCGGCCGAGCCCGCCTCAGCCGGCGACATGTTACTCTTAGCAGGCCTCTAACTGCCATATTTATTATTGGATTAACTAGAAATTCGCCATACATACTAGAAAATGTATGTTCTTTCGTATAGTGAAGATCAAAAGACGTTAACCCTCGCACGACCAGGCCATTTCTCATAACACGAACGACCAGGGGGGGGGGTTGTTACGACCCCCCCCCTTGGCGTTTCGAAACGGAAGGTCGTAGAGCTTAGCGGAAAAAACCAACGGATTGCTCTCAACGAGATCTCGCGATTGGTGGTATATTTTTTGGTCCTAGGTCAACATTTGACCTACTTTTGACCGGTCAAAGGTCAAATTTTCGGAAAAATAGACTTTTTTCAACTTTCAGCGACGATTGCGGCAAAACGGTGGGAAATATCGACTTGAAACCTTCACTATCGTGTTCCTTGATCAATTCTCTATCGTTTGGTATGTATTTCGTTTCCCTAGCTCTAAAAATGGCGCGTTGGGAGCGCCGGAAGTCGGCAAGGTCACAGTCGGCGGCAGAAATTCGAAAAATCAAAATTTAAATTTTTGAAATCTGATTGTATTTTTGGATTTGGGAGGTCCATTTGCTCCCTATAGAAGCTAATATTGCTGCATATTCCCATTGAGGTGACAAGAATTAGCAAAATAGTGGTTCGGGCGCTTTTCAAAAATAGTACCGGACGCTGTTCCTCTTGTGACGTCATAGCTCCGTGACCTGACCTGACCCGGTCAAGTTTCTTATACCATATGATAGCCAATACTTGCCCCAACATGCATGGGAAGTTTCATCACGATCCATCAACCGATGTCCGTACCACCGGCAGGAAACCTCGGGCGTTGGCACTCAGTTTGTGAAAATCCGGCCGGAGGCTGTACCTCTTATGACGTCATAACTCCGTGACCTGACATGACCCGATCAATTTTTTTTCGGCAAAAGATGCGCAAAGGTTGCCCCAGAGGGTATGGAAAATTTCAGCCCGCTACGACAAGCCGTTTAGCGTGCACTTCGAAAAAACCTCAGGGGGGGGGGGTTGATACAACCCCCCCCCCCCCTAGGCGTTCTAGGGTTAAGATATCGTTGCGTGATAATGTTTTCGTTGAATTTACTTCATGATGCATTTCCACACGGCTCAAAATTCACCGCAAAATGCCGTTTGCCTGAGACACTTTTACTATGGAACGTGATTGCTTGACTACGATGACTATGCATTTCCATTCTCGCAGAGTTTGGGATATCACTAATCAGCAATCATTCATTTCAGAAAGTGTACACAAGCAAGCATGCTTTGACTCTGTCTTTCAAGGTCACGCGCGGTTGCGTGATGTTGATGCATGAAAACGGCGTTTGCCGCGAAAGTTATGAATGGCCCACTCCAATTTTTTCACAGATGGTTAGGAACATGGTGACGGACATAATATGTAAAAATTACCCAAATCGAAGGTGACGTGTTTTTTGCTATTAAAATTTTTCTGTTTAAATTCAAGGTCAAATGCATTTCAAGGTCACTTCAATTTAATTTCATAATTAAAAATCAAAGCCTTATCAATTGCCTATAAGACCCTGTTAATATCATTTTGATACCAGAAAAGGAACCAGAGTTATAGCCATTTAAAAAATTGATGTGTGGCATTTTTCGCTATATTCGATGACCTATATCTCGGCGATACGTTATCAAATTTCGAAAATATTATACGTAACTCAGTTTTGAACCATGCCCAGTCTGCCTACAAATTTTCAGAAAAATCGAAGGGGATGACGGATTTCGGTGTTTGATTTGACGTGGAATGCCCCGACTGTCTTTTCAGGTTGCTTGCAGTTTCTACATAGGTAACACAGTACCTCACCATCCTATGTAAATGTTTTCGCCCATACATTCATCCTACTATTGGCCACATATTCCCTCCCTTGTCGTCCCTGCCAGGTGTGGTATCGATGGTCAACAACGGGCCCAACACGAACGGCACCCAGTTCTTCATTTGCGCCGCCAAAATCACCTGGCTCGACGGCAAGAATGTGGCGTTCGGCCTCGTCACCGAGGGCCTCCAGGTGCTAAGGAAGGTCAGTGCGCTGAGCGGGGCGTATGTGAGACTACATAGTCGGGCTGGCTCAAAGGTGTGCGAGTTTGAACTGGGTTAGAGTATAACTTTGCGATAGCATATTTTTGTGCAAATGAGCACAGCTACATGAATTGTGTGGGTAAGGGCCATTAAACAGCGTACATACGTACAGGTGTGCGTTTTTTTATGAAAACGTCACCTTCGGAACTTCAAATTGAGAATAGGATACTTTACTTATACGTATCGGTCGGAAAGGGTTCGTCATGCTAAGTAACTGTATTTTCTACAATGTACCCAAAAAGAGTAATTTCATCCAAGAATAACATGATCTTAAATACGATGACTGATGAATATGATGTCTGTTTCAGATAGAGGCGCTGGGAACGGCGCAGGGAGTTCCTCTGAAGCGGATCGTTGTTCACAAGTGCGGTCAGATCATCAACGACTGAGCCCGCGGTCAGATCATCAACGACTGAGCCCGCGGTTAGATCATCAACGACTGAGCCCGCGGTTAGATCATCAACGACTGAGCCCGGCAGCGGACGTACTTTCCCCGCTGCCAGGCACTACTCAGTAACGTCTGGCAGTGGCATGTGTTGTGCAGCTCCGTCCTGTCCTATGTCTTTCACATGTGGAATAAAAATTGCAGCCCACTTACGGAAAACCTCAGTGAATCAACCTGAGGAGGATGCAGTTTTGTAAAGGCTCGAAGGGAGCGGACGGGCAATATCTGAATCGCATAAGCACTGCCCCAGCCGTGGCGTTGAAGTCATAACGGCAGCCGTGGTGTAGACTGACTACGACCTCAGACTAGCCCCCATGCATTTTCTTTTATTCTAAAGGCTGACGGGTCTTGTCTCAGGGTCCATCATTCCTTTCACGCCAGGGCATCCAGAGGGGATACAGATTAAAACAAGCAGAAATACAAACAACTGAACGTTTTTAACTATCCCCAAATGATTACCAGGCTGTCTAACCAAAATGTCTTCAGGTGCCGATCTGTCCATAGGAAGATCATTACCGGTAATCATAACGATACCATATTAGTACGTGAGACCCACCCGTTCGTATCGGGGCCGGGTGAAACTGGCCCAATATGTGACACTAACACCAACAGCAGATGACATGACCGGCGCCAGCTCGGGAGCCGGCCGGCTGGGACGACTCACCCGTCGGAGCCGCGCTGGTCTGCGGTCGGCGACACGAGGCTGCGGTGCCGGCTGCGGGGCAGGCCCAGCGCCGTCACATCCAGCGAGAGCCGGCGGCCCGGCCTGCCGCCGCCGCCGGCCGACCGCCAGCGGCCCCGGCGGCGGCGGCGCTCCTCAGCCTCCTCCTCCGCGTCGGCCTCGACGATGTCGGCCAGCGAGCCGCCGCTGCGTCGGTGTCGGCGCGGCGCCGCGGCCGGCGGCGGCGCCTCCACCGAGCGGGAGCGCAGGCGGCCGCGCGGCGGTCGCGCCGGCGCCGGCTCCGGGCTGTGCGAGACGGCGCGGCGCGGAGCCTCCTCCTCGCGGTACATGTCCTCCACCTGGTCGTCGGCCGTGAGCTCCGCCTGCTCCGTCAGGAACGAGTCGATGGCGATGGAGTGGCGGCGCACCGGCAGCTCGAGCGAGCGGCGCCGGCGCCGAGAGCGCAGCGGCGCCAGTAGCGTCTGCCGCCACTCGCGCAGCGTGCGGCCCACCGACTTCAGCGAGCTCACAGAGGAGGTGGACGAGACGGAGGTGACCGAGCCGCGCCGGCGCCGCTCCCCGGTCACCGGCAGCGCCCGGTCGGCCGACAGCGGCAGGCTGACGGACACGCGGCGCTGGCCGAGCCGCGGCGGCCGGTCAGGGGACGCCAGCTGCAGCGGCGGCGGCTCCACTGGCGGCGGAGACGGGTCGGTAGGACCGCCGTCCCGCGGAGAGCTGCCGCCGCCGATCGTCCCGTCGGCACGCAGGGTAGCGTTACCTTCCCAGAGCTCGTCAGTGCCCTGCAGGGTCCCGTCACGGCCCAGCGTTCCAGCCAGGCTCGTCGAACACTGCAACGAAGATTGACCCCTGTTAGGAGCAAGCAAGAGAAAAGCCGTATTTCATAAGACCGAGGTCATATGAAAAAGAGCCGATCACCCGGCGGATGCAGTACAAATTGTTTGTGGAAAGCAATCAACAGCTTAGAACTTCACTTGTTTTCACCATGACACGTAAGCTAATAACCAAAAACCTAGCGCATAAAACACTTCGCACGTTAATATGCTTGTTCCAGCAGGAGAGCACTACCGAGGGGCGGTACCCACCTGAGTGTGAGTGGCGTCCGCCGTCTCCGAGGCCGACGTCTCCCTGGACCGCGGCGGCGACAGCAAGGTGACGCTCCGTCGGCGGACGGGACGCTGCGGGCCAGTCCCAGCGCCGTCCTCTGTCCCACCGGGCTCCGGCCGCGGGCTGGCGGCCGATTCAGCCACCGAGGAGTCCCAGGTGTCGTAATCCGGCTCAAGCGGCAGGGCGGCTGTGGGCACTGATGACTGGGGTTGATGTGCTGACTCGGGATCAGCGGATGTCTTTAGGTGGCTCGATGGCTCCGACGGAGCTGGTCCTTCTCGTTCCGCCGGCGGCGAGGCTACCAATCGAGCCGAGTTTCCTCCGTCATCCCCAGCCGACGAGCTGTCGTCCCAGCTGCCGCTGTCCTCGGCAGTTGGAGCCGCGCTGGCAGGGGTAGGGGCAGCAGGACCGGCCGGCGGTACAGGGTCGTCACACCAGCTGCTGAGGCGGGCACGGCGCGCCGGCTCGGCCTGTGCAGGGACTTCCGAAGAAGTAGTGTCTAAGGTCAGGCCGGGGAGGCGCCGAGGAGGTGCCACGGGGGATAGAGACCGCACGGGTGCATCACCATGAGTTCCTTCAACAAGAGGCGCAGAACTTTCGCTAGACATGCTCTTCTGTCTCTTGCTCACAAATGAATCTCGTCTCAAGCCCGCAGCCGATTCAGATGTTTTCACACGACTTTCACCATGCGTCTCTGAGCTTTGCCTCCGTTTGAAATCCTGTCCATCCCCTGATTTGCACGTGACTTTGTCGCCTAAGCTACTCGAGTGATCACTCCAGCTGCTATCTTCACTGACTTTTGCGGCCGCTGAAACATTGCCAGAGATAGGTTCCCTGCTCCCTTTGCGAGAAAGCGAGCCACTGATTTCGTTTTGGCTTCGTTGAAGCGTACGCCGTTCACTGGGAACACCCTCGCTGTCGGAGCGTCCCATCGCGGGCAGGGACTCATCTCCCCAGCTCTCCTCATCGGACGGCTGTTCGGGAGGTTGTGTTCCCGTCTCCGTCCCTCCGCCAGCCTCCATGTGTTCCGTATCTCCCCTCTCCGCCGCGGCTCCTCTGCTCACCGCGGCGAGCTCTGACGGCAGCGAAGTATCGCCCCAACTATCCTCCTCGGCAGTCTGCTTGGCCGCCGCTGTCGCTGGGACACTCCGACGGGACAGAATCGGACTGACGTCTCCCCAGCTATCTTCAGCGCCCGGCTGGTTATCATCAGACGCGGACTTCTGAACACCACGTGAGTCTTCGTCGTCAGCCGCAGTGGCAGTATGATCGGCCGGGGATCGTCCCAACTGAGGCGGTGTGGCGAGCCGGGCAGGACGTGAACGGGGCAGCACGGGGCTCACGTCACCCCAACTGTCCTCCGGCGCCACCGGGGAAGACTGTCTCTCGACCCTGGCGGCCGGCTGTGGCGGTGCGGGAGGCTCCCTCACAGCCGCTGGGGCCAGGGGTGGATCAGAGGCGCGGTGGTCGGCGGTCCCAGCCAGCGACTCCCGGCGGGGGACGGCCGGCGAGCGGGGCAGCACTGGACTAACGTCGCCCCAGCTGCTCAGATCCTCTTCCTCCTCTTGGTCTCCATCGTCCGCAGTCTCTGACGGACGCTGGATCTGCGGTATATTTTTCGTCGGTCGACGCCCGATAGGAGCACGTCCGTCTTCCAACACCGACACAGCACTAGTCTCTCTCACTGGCCCCGTCCCTCCGTCCGCCGGGCCATCTCTGCTGGTCGGGCGGACGCCACTGGTCCTGCGACTCGGACCGCGGTCGGACGGAGACCCGGGCAGGATCGGACTGCCGTCACTATCACCCCAGCTGTCCTCGGAGACCGAGTCTGTTTGCTCGGCCTCCCGCTCCGGCGCCGGGTCTGCCCGCTCGACCCCCGGCTCCGGCACCGGGTCTGAATTTAAACGTGGTGGACCGCTGGACCACGGCCGGGGCAAAACGGGACTGTCATCTCCCCAGCTGTCCTCACCATCCGAGAGATCGACCTCAGGAGGGTCCGAGGCGGCGCGGCCGACAGACTGCGGGGCATCACCGGCACCCGTCTCCACCGCAGAGGGCTTCGGCCCCGAGTCGTCCCCAGCTGCGGTTACAAACGGGATTGGACTGACATCTCCCCAGCTGTCGTCCCGCTCCGGCCGAGGGTCCGGTCGTTTCACCGGTGACACGGCTGGCTCGCTGCAGCTGTTCTCTGTACCATCAGCTCTCTCCACGTCCTCTCGCTGTCCCTCCGCTCCTCTCTCAGAGCTGGGCCGAGCCCGGGGGCTGGACCGGCCCGTCCGTTTGGGTGACTCAGACTCGGACCCACTGGACCAACAGCTGGTGCGCCGCTGATCTCTGGGACCAGCGCCACTGTCTCCTGCCGGTCCACCGTCGCCGCCGCCGCCGCTGTCTGAGGATAGCCTCTTTACTCCACTAATGTCGCTGTAGTGAGGCTGACCGGAGGCAAGCTCAACGCCACCGTGGTCCCCAGCACGGTCGGTCGGCAGCGGAGACGTCCCCGCCAGGAAGCAGGCCGGCAGAGGGATGGACGGCTGAAAATGGACATAGCACGAATTAGAAACAAGTACGGTGCAGTTGCGAGTCAGACTGGAAGGCAATGACAGCACACTTAAAAGCCATCGTTTATTAAAAGACTGTTGGGCGGCGCTTATTAGAGACAACTAGGCGGTATACTCTGAGAAGGAAATAATTAAACAGGCATTAAGACACTGTCATACTTTACATTAAAAGTCAGTTACACGCTGCACAATATCACAAAATGCGGCATCCACAAATGCCGTTCATCTTCGCAAAACGTTCCCCACGGGCCCGAGCGCAGTACGCACCTTCCGCGGCGGGGGCGCGAAGTTGAGCTCGTCGTCGTCGCTCCAGGAGTCGGAGCCGACGCTGATCGGGGCGGCGGGGGTGGCGGCCGGGTCGGGCCGGCCGGGGCCCGGCTCCGGCTCGCCTGCAGAGGAGAGGGACGAGGCGAGCCGCGGCGCCGCTTCCCGGGCAGACGACAGTGAGGAGGCCAGTCTCGGGGTGGGTACACCGGCAGAGGACAGAGACGAGGCCACGCGCGGTGTCGGAACGCCGGCGGATGACGTCGAGCCCAGACGCTGCACCTTCTGTGAACGGGAGAGATAGAACGGGAATTGGTGATAGTTTGTATATTATTAGAATGAAAAATAAAGATACGAAAGTGAAAAGTTACTGATAAAACTGAGGCATGATGCAAAATTGTGTCAATATTTTTTTTACGGAAATCAGATCGATAAGTAAGCATGCCAAAACAGGAAAGCTATCACTGACTTCAAAAGCACATTAGACTAATCATGCCCCTCAAGCAAGAAGCCGAATCACTGAGCCTGTGTCCTTACCGCCGTTTCTGCCGGTGGCGGTCCGTCCACGCCCAGGTCTTCCACGCTGAACATTTGGCTGAGGCTGCGGTGTCGGCGACTCAGCCGGCGAATCTGACTCTGTATGTGCGGAAACCCCTCCCGGACGGCCAGCTCGCCGGCCGTCAGACCTGGAGGTGGTGGACTGGAGGTCAGGGCGGTCGGACAGAAGACAACCTCACGCTCAAACAGCCTAGGCCTGGGGGATGATGAAGGGGGCCGATCACGTCGGCAGATCCGAAATCAAAAGTCAGGGAACGGCATATTGGCAGGCACTCTACAAAGTAATACACCATTGCTGACCCCTTCCCCAAATACATCGCAATTCATCGACCAAGTGTCGGTCCAACAATCACAACTTACAATTCACCACCAGCCAGAGGAAGGTCATCTTCGTTATCTAACAGCTCACCACACATCTCCGATTCTCCATTCTCACCCTCGTCACCCCGTATCTCACTCTCGTCACTCCGTATCTCACCCTCGTCACCCCGTATCTCACCCTCGTCATCCATATCTCACCCTCGTCATCCCTTACCTCACCCTCGTCACCCCATCTCACTCTCGTTACCCGTATCTCACCCTCGTCGTCTCTCAGCTCGGCCTCTGCGCCGCCCTCGAGCAGCTGGGCCACCAGCTCGGAGAGACCGCGGCCGGCCGCCAGGTGGAGGGCCGTGCGCCCGTCACGGTCGGCGGGCGCCAGCGCGGCGCCGTGGAGGAGCAGGGCGGCCGCCAGCTCCGGGTGCGCGTGCAGCACGGATAGGTGCAGCGGCGTATGACCGTCCTGTGAGATAGAGGGAACGGATTATGCGGCGGCCGTCCTGCGTGACAAAGGCAGGGAGTGTAAGAAAAGGACGGATGAGCGGTGGGGACGGCTGGCGGCAATGTGTGTCGAGATGGTAGAAGACTACGATATGTTACTACCTAACACTAAGAAGGAATGGAACTCGAGATTGCATGAACAGGGGAGGATGGAGAGAATAGTCCAGAAGATTAAATTGTAATAAAATGGTCCGGTTCACACGAAAGCTGCATCTGATCACTGAATCATTGAAATCATGAAAATAGCTCACCCTTCTTAACAACCCGTTCCCCGCAACAGCCCTACCTTTTTCCACTCTGTCCACCCCACAACCGTACCCTGTCCATTCTGTCACACCCACAGCCTCAGCTTGTCAACTCTACCCTCACCGCCCTACCCTGTCAGTCCATCCCGCCGACCTACCTTGTCCACCTGGTCGACGTTGGCACCGTGCTGAAGCAGCGCCTGCAGCACGGGCTCGGCGCCGCGCCGGGAGCTCACATGCAGCCCGTTCTGCTGGTGGTGGTTGCAGTGGCTGGCGCTGGCTCCCCGCTCCAGTAGGAGGCGCACCGAGGCCGCGCTGTCTGCCTCCGCCGCCTGAAGGATGAGTCACAGTTAGAATGGATACACCACAGGCGCACCGTGGAAGCCCTGTAAGCCTCCGCGGCCTGAAGAGGATGCTCATCACAGTCAGGAAGGATACGTCATATTCCAGACAAAACGTCACAGCTATGCCGATGCAAAACCATCGTTCCTGTTCTTTAGCAGAGCCTGCTGTCCGATACTTGTTATGAAAGATTCTCACCAATGATAAAAACACTCCATTTATCCATTGCATCTCACCCATACATATTTGATATTACAAACCATATTCACAGCCAGGGTTGGCAAGGGGTGGCAAAAACTGGTTTTTGCCAGTGGTTTTAACCGGTTTAAACCGGCTGGCAGAAATCCCGGTGGCAAAAACTGGCAAAACTGGATAAAACTCAGGTGGCCCAAACCACAACTTTTCTAGTTAGGAATGGATCTGAAATGTACAAAATAGAGATGCACCAAACATTCTGAAGTTTGCCTCATTACTTATCCCTGCTTAAAATGTCTATGCATGTCGGTAGACATCCCCCACAGAATGCATTTCCATGTAGGGGAGAGTGGGGCAAAGCTGCCACGGTAGGGTGCCGTGCGCATATCAGTGGCAGATACCCCTTCGCACTTCTGATTGTGCAGGACTCACTCTTGCACTGGCTCATTTGTCAACCCCAAAAGGCGTCTTACTGGTTCCTTATGGAAAGCCCATGAAAGTGTTTTTGAGTTATAGAACACTTCAACGGTCAATGTCACTTCTGTTTGAAAGCATAAAGCTTTCACCGAATTCTCCTTAAAATGTTTCATGTTCAAATCCATGTCTAGGCATATCATTGTGATGGTTTTTAGTTTTTGCCAGTTTTTGCCACTTTTTGCCGGTTAAAGCCGGTTTAAACCGGCAAATGGCATAAACTAGTTTTTGCCGGCAAAAATGCCAACCCTGTAATCACAGCAGCTACAGTGCCTCTCCTCCCTCCCCTCCCGCACCTTCAGTAGCGGCGTGTTGCCGTCGCCGTCCTCAGCGTCCACGGGCAGCCGTCTCTCCAGCAGCAGTTCGACCATCTCGCGGTGTCCGCGGGCGGCGGCCAGGTGCAGCAGCGAGCGGCCCTCGCGGTCGCGCGCCTGCACCCCCGCCGTGGACTTGGCGGTGAGTGAGCGCACGCGCGCCACGTCTCCGTCCCAGACGGCCCGCTGCAGGCCGGAGAGGGTTCGCTCCCGGCCGACCAACTGCGGAGGGAGGGGGAGGTGCGGTTACAGCGCCGCACGGCAGGAGGCACAACTTACGGCTGATAAGTACAGGATGAGTCGACCCTTCGCACAGCAATTATCTGAATTATTTGTAATAAGCACCTGGGTTTACGTACATGAGGAGAGCGTATATAGCTATAGAAATAGCATAAAAATATATAGCATAGAAATATATAGCTATAGCATAGAAATTTGACGAGGTGGTTCATTAATTTCGTAACAAAAGTTTGCCCTAAAAAACTTTGTTTCCAAAGGCGTTTTCCACTAAAGTTCCCGCCTCATTCAACCTCTCCTGACTTACATCGTAGGCGGCCGGTCGTTCTGTCTGTTCCTCCGGTGTACCGCCGGGGGTGTCTGCCTGGGGGTCCCGCTCGGCCGGCTCGGCGGCCGCGTGACTGGAGGAGCGGCCCACCTTGGCCAGCCGGGACAGCACCTTCTTCATGGCTGTCGGCCCGGGGCGGCAGGCGGCGCCGCCCGGCTACCCTGGCGCCGGCTCAGTGGCGGGCGACATTCACCTGAAACGGACACGGCAGGTGGACACTTGGCACCGGAGCCCCGGAGACTGGACCGTCTCTGCGCTCTCCTAGCGGGATTAGCAATGACTGCGCTATGAACATAGATGGTCTCATGACTTAGTGATTGTGCGTATGGTGTAGCATAGAAAGAGATCAGTGAACTGAACTTATGGAGGCAATATGGTGCGAGAGTTATCTAAGTCATCCCTAGCACAAACAGAACAGTGGTGGTGAGATCGTAGCAAGATGCATCAGCGCCGACGTTTACACATGCAAGACAAAAAGTTTACATTTTGAGCAGCATCTATTCCAAAAAGTTGATGATCAGCAGCGGACATACAGGCGAGACAGGATGAGGAATCGATGCCTATAAATGATGCATGTGACGGTGTCCTACTCACAAACGGAATGTCGGATGAAGATTCGATAAATGAATGATGCAATAACAAGAAACAACTCGCACACAAACAGGCACTGCAGACAAAATACAATGGGTCTTGATGAGAGAAATATGAAAAGGGAAATGTTATCCAGTCAGTCAACGGTCATCACCAAACGAATGATAATCTAACATAAAAGGAACAGCACGATGACAGCTAAAAACCTCACGATGGAAATGCACGCTCCTGAATGTCGGCAAACAGTAACGGCGAACAACGTAGCATGATATCGGGAGATCGCAATGACACCACAAACACTTTCTGGAAACATCCCTACAACACAAAAAGCCTTAGTTAACATCATTCTTCCGCTGGTCGTCCATGGTACGCTCAGTCACTATGATCACCACTTCACGTCATCCGCTATCCCCAGACAACCACCACCGGCCCGGCGCACACTGCCCGACCCCGAGGTCGGAGCCCGTCACTGACCGGTGATCTCCGCACCATCCTCTCACTCCTTGGCGTCAGTGACGCCGCCGGACGTGATGGCGAACGACGCCTCCGACTCGGGCAGGTCGGGACTGTCGTAGATTTTGGCGATGCGCACCTCCCCGCGGCCCTTGCGCAGCGAGATGCGCGTGGTGGATGCGTGCGCCAGGATGTGACCGCCCACCGGCTTCTTGGGGTCGGCCTGGAACGAGAGCGCCGCGCCCGGGTCGGCCGTCATCTGGTTGGTCAGGAAGACGGCCACGTTGTACTCCTCGGAGATCTTCTGCAGCCGGGAGAGCATCTGCGCCAGCTTCTGCTGCCGGTCAGCCAGCTCGCCGCGACCGCTGAAATCCACCCGAAACAGCGCCATGATGCTGTCCACGATCAGCAACTTGAACACACCGGCCTCTTCATGCAGCTTGGCGGCCACCATGTCCATGAGCTCGTACTGGTGCTCGCTGGTGTAGGCGCGCGCGTACAGCACGTTGTCGAGCATGGCGCTCTGGTCGAGGTTGAATCGGTCGGCGATGGGCCGCAGCCGGTCCGGTCGGAAGGTATTCTCGGTGTCGATGAAGATCACCTTGCCTCCCGTGTAGCCGCCCTCGCCGGGTAGCTGGGCGGTGACGCACAGCGTGTGCGACAGCTGCGTCTTGCCGGTGCGGAACTCACCAAACGCCTCGGTGATGGCCATCGACTCGAGGCCGCCGCCCATCAGCTTGTCCAGCTCCTGGCTGCCGGTGGAGATGTGGAACACGCAGCGCCGCTTGTCGCTGAACTCCAGCGCCGTCACAAAGCCGCTGTTGAGCAGCTTGCAGCACGCCTCCTTCACCTTGTCCACCTTGGCCTCGCTCAGACCCTTGATGGCGCACAGCTTCTTCTTGGTGGCCATCTGGATGCCCTTGAGTGTGCAGATGCCGGCCGTCTTCAGCTTTTTGATGTCGGCGGCGTTGATGCCGTGGTTCTGCAACACGTCCACGTCGAGGAAGAAGTCGTCCTCCTCTTCGGCCTCGACGACCTCGGCGCCCTCGATGGCCTCCTGCTCCTCCGGAAACATGGCCGGCGACGGACGGAGCACCTAGGCGGGCGCGGGCACACGGATGAGGACGAGACAGGGCGGCTGGAGGAACATAGCGGGCGGCGGACGGAGCACCTAGGCGGGCGCGGGCACACGAATGGGGACGAGACAGGGCGGAACGGACAGGTCTGGTGGTCCCTGAGTGTGTGAGAGAGTACTGTTGTCATGTGTGTATGTGGCAGGAGGCTGGAGCCAGTCAGCTGAAGTTGTATCATCAAAGAACCATCCCATCCTTGCACTTTGTCATGTTTAAATCTTGAGAGCCTCATCTGCTTGGTCAAGTCAAGCTTGTGGCTAGGTATGGTCACATTGCAAGCTTGAAAGAATCGTCACTCAATAAACTGTATGATGCACTTCTGCACAATTAAATAATGGGACAGGCTGGGGACAGGGTGACTAAAATGGAGCAACATCACTACTATATATAATTATTGAGGACTGCCCTACAACTAACTAAATCAGCATTAAAAGCCAAAACACATAAAATGGTTACAAGTGGTAAAATTTGGGTAAAATGACCCCCACCAACCCTGTATCAGTAGTGATTAAAAAAATAAGGCCGCATAAATGAAACAGTACTTTTTTGGGTGAAGCACAAGAAACCATCATTTCTTACATTTTTCCTATAAATCAATAATTTTTCAACCTTTTTGCACCATGTCTTCTCTCAAGTTGTTTACACTTCCATGCAATCAGATTTGAATAATAAGGCAATGAATGAGTGCAAAGGTATCTTAGCCAATCTGTATGATGATATCAATAGTCACTGTAACAATGCTCTGGGTTAGGTAAGGTTTCATTAAGTTTTGCCAGATTAGGTTAGGTTAGCTTAGTTTTTGTTATATTCTAATTATAAAAAAACTTCTTAGATCTTACAGTTTGTTTGAGCCTGAGAGGTCACTTTCAACATGGTGAATTTTTCCCTTCTTCATAATACATTACAGTACAGTACCTAATTATGAGCTGCAGTATTGTGGTGGTTCAAGAAGAAACTTGAAAGGCTCCTGTGGCGCGGGAAGAGCAGGAAGGATGATATGAAATGGCATGATTTTTTATTTTTGCTGGATGTTTTTTACATGTTTAGAATTTGTGATAATATTCTATGGTTACTTTGTAATTTTTGAAATCTAAGCACAGTAACAATGCATTGCTATGCAGCATTGCATGTGTGTTTATAACAATGCATAACATTGCTATAACACACAGTGGTTATTACTTTTCAATGAAATCTGAAAGCACAAGTATAAGGGCCTTACTAACAACTGGATAAAATCAGCTGACTGGCCAGCTGGCGACATATGATAGCCATATTATTTACTGATATAAACACAGTCACAGTAGGAAATTGACATGATCACATAAAAAGGCACTCAGAAAAATTCAGTAGGCGGAACTATGGTCAAGCGTACCCATTTTCGGGAACGCATTTTCGTTCCCATGTTTGGGAACGATAAACCCAAATATGGGAACGCCATGTAGGCATTATTTAAAACAAGAAAAAGAACCGTTAAATGACGTCCAAAAAATATAAAACGATCGTGAACCGCCTGATATTTGTCTCAATATTGTTGGGAAGAGTTTGATATTGTAAGGCCCATCGTAGTTTCAAATCGTTCCCCTATTTCTAAAGCAGTCCATCATCCGGGCCGCGAGCCCAAATTTGGGAACGCTCTCGTAGACTAGCGCTGCAAGCGTTCCTTATTATGGGAGCGGCGTACCCAAACTTGGGAACGATTTCACCGACGCCTTTCAGGGGCTCTTTTCATTAACAAGCATCACGTCCAACGCCGCAAATTATTGTTAACGCAACAATCATCAGATGACCTTTCCGGCAAGACCGTCGCATGTTTCGCCCGGTCTTCTGCGCTTTTATTCCCATCGATCTCGCAGCGGGCACGCCCCCCCTCTGCAGGATTACGTAATTCACAACGCTCAGCGATGTTCAACAAGGTCTTCCATACCTATATCCACCGTCCGTGCCGAGGGTGGAGACATGTCAAGCACCTGTCTGTTTATCACCGATAGTTGACGAGTACAAGGAAGTATCCAAAAATGGGAACGCTGAATATGTGACACCCTCAAAACACCTAGTCCCAATGAAAATCTAGTTTTTTCCTTCCTTAATGAGTGTAAGTGGCAAAAGGCCTGGTAGGATGGGCACGAGGAATGATCGAAATCAGCATAGAAATTATAAATAAGCCACACAGAGCGACCTATATAAGAGAAATTCCCCCAAAACGATCATGCTTAGAAACACGGAAGACAAAAACCACGCTCATGACGCTCCTTATATAACAACGCTAAACAGCTAGCATCCAAATAAAATATGTCTTTCCGGGCTGATAAAATACAGTTGAATAATTTTCGACCACTTAAACTGAGTTTACAACAGTAGTTCGGTAAAATCACGCACATTCTACGCGGTCGTCCGCCTCGACACCAAATGTCAACAATATTACCTCGGGACTGTCCGCGTGTTCGCTTGCATATGTCAGCATCGGGTGTCGCTAGTATGAAACTTCATAACCAGGCGAAAATTATTATACTTGACCTCAAAATGTAAAAAACGCTTCATTTTCCTTAAAATTGCATGTTAAATGTAGTGTAACCCATGTTTTCACCATTCCGTCATTTCAAAAAATCATTAAAAATATCATTTGACGGTCAATTTCCTTGTTCAACTGTCAGATTAAAGATAATTTTATAGAGACTTAGTAGATACTTAAATTAGCGTGCACTTTTTTGAGACGTGATGCACTAATGAGTTTAAGTGGCCAAACGGCCGAAAAATTACCTCCCGTTCTCATAAATGGGAACGCCCGTTCCCATATTTGGGAACTCCGTTCCCAAAAATGGGAACAATCCTATATTTGGGTACTCATGACCATAGTTCCACCTACTGAATTATAAGAGATTATTAGTCATTTGTATCTAGCAATGATATATAACAAGCTCTGCTAGCGCCACCATAAGGCACCAGCTGACAAATAATCCAGAAAATAGCACGACCCCAAGTACCTATTGCTATAACAGCTGTGAAACATGGTCAGTCGTTGGATGTCAACTCAGCGCAGCTCTCGAGACATCATGCTGGATAAACATAACAATATAGCAAAGTACAAGGCTGCATATTCTTAAAAGCAAAATAAAATCTAGAAAGTTGTTATTACTTCAAGGGTGTGAGTGCGACCAATGTCAATGTTATGTAAAAAAGTATTGCAATAAAACAGCGTAGACGAAGTAGACGAATGCGTCGTTACTTCTTATCACCACAGCAAGTCAAATGATGCGGGATGAAAGGTGATTTGCCGAACATAACATTCCTTATTAAACAAATAATACAAAGATTTAAAACTTACAGGCGAACTTCCGCAAAATATTGACAGAAAGGCACAGCAAGAACTATGCCCACAACAGACACGTGCAGCTGCGCGCGAGGATTTGTTTTGATTTTGGACTTGCAGCAGAAGTCTGGAATGTAAGCAAGCGAAAGAGTCGTGAGTACTAAATGATCATGCGTCGAACATCGACGTGTATCTGGATTGCTCGACGACCGTTTTTGATAAATGAAACCACACTAGATTGCAACTTCGTTGTCACTATCGGTATCACAACATTTCTGCAATTTGAAAATCGCATTACTAAGTGATGTACGCCCGAGTTCCCTTGACTATAGTCAAGGGCAGGGGGGTACGCTCCGGCTGTTTAACATTACGAAAAGTGGTGACAGACGTTTGTGGAGGATTGTCGACGAACTCTTGTTCCGCGAGCAGCACTCACGCGCTAGCGGAAAATCCACCAATCAGCGCCCGGCAGTGCTCGACGCTGATTGGCCCGACGCTCGTGACGAAATTGCGGGGGACCGCAGTTATTCTCTATGGACTCGAATAGGCTTTTGGATTTCGGAGGGGTTTCTTTAAGATTATATGCTGTTTCGAGCTGTTTTCGAGTTGAAATATATTTCTTATGACTGTTAGCTATATAATGGCACCATAAAATCATGATTTTAATTAATATTACCGATGTAATATCGGCCGAAAAGACATGCTGTCTTGGCACGGACTGCCCTGCAGCTGATGTGGGGCCTCTAGTGCCAGCGTATGGTAATAATGGGCTGACGAAGGGTTATTGGAGACTCTTAGAGACCCACCAGGATTCAGTATAGGGTCATCAGAGGCCGGGAACATCCATCAGGGGTCTGAGTAGGCCTGCCATAGGGGCATGCATGACACATCATGGAACATGGGTCAATCTAGATCCATTAGGGGCTGTTGAAGTGCCATCATTGTTCAGCGTGGGCCCGCAATCACCTCTGATGGGCATATGCCGTGCCCCGATGGACTAACGCTGGCCCCCGATAAACCATCACCAGCCCCTGATAGGTCTACAAAGCCCCCTGCTGGGTCTAAATTGGTCACTGATATGCCCTAATGGGCCACTGAGAAACCCGTACAACATCCCCTGACTGCACCTGATGGACCAATGCCGTCCCCTCATGGGCCCACCAGGCACCACGGCTCTTGAATGGCCTCTTCAAGTCCCTGAAGCGCCTTTATTGGCCTAAATGGACCCCTGATTGGCTTATGTGGTCCCTAATGGTCCTATATGGCCCCATGAGCCCTCAACGTCCCTAGACAGCCTTACATTATATGCCACCGGTCCCTGGTAGGCCTGCACTGGACCCAATAGGCCTATACCGACCCATAAAGGGCCCATGTCGAGCCCTCATGGGCCTCCGATGACCACACGCCGGCATGTGTGGCCCCATCAGCAGTGGTCCGTCTATCCCATGTACTTACGGTCTTTTTGGCCGATGTGACACCGGTAGTATATAGAAATATCATGATTAAATGTCGTTATTATATAGTCAAAGGTCACGGAAAGAATATCCAAGCTCAAAAATGGTCTCAAACCCAACAAAAACTGATACAAATCCCCTTCAAAAGTCATAAGTCAATGAAACACCATAGGGGAATAGCTGCAGTCCCCCGCAATTTCGTCACGAGCATCGGGCCAATCAGCGTTGAGTATTGCCGAACGCCGATTGGTCGATTTCCGCTAGCTTGTAAATGCTGCTTGCGGATATAGTCTTGAACAAGTGAGGGTCGCGGCAACTAAATATTGCTTGTCACCACTTTTTCTTCGGGAGCGTTCTACCTGGTTTATATAGCCTGCGGTCAAGGGACTGCGGGCTTTGCGTACTGCGTATACGCAGTACGCAATGCCTATACTAACCGCTGGCGAATAGTCATACAAGCTGCGCAACGTACATTTCATGCATTTGTATGCATTAGGCAACATGCATGGAATGGAAATTAGAATACAGAAAAAAATGACGAGCATATTTATGGGTGCTTGGGTGCCTGTAGGTAGGACAGTTTTCAGCGAACTTGCGTACAATGTAATTACATCACCAATGGCATGCATTCAAACGCAGCCCGGCCGGTCGGTCAACTGCCAGTGCCATATTAGCGTGCCGTGTAGACGGACGGAGGATGTGTCTCATGTGGTGCCATGAGTCCGCGGCTCCGCTCCCGGGCCGCTAGCGGGGCCGCACTCGCAGCACGTGGTCCGTTTTCACGTTGACACGTCGCCGTCCAAGGCCAAACGGGCGCCGTTCGAGCGGGAACAGCCGCCGCGCCGCGCCCCGCTGCCTGACCTTGGCTTCTGGCGCCGGCGCGCGAAATGTTTGCTCGTCTCGGCGGATAGGGCCCTGTTTTGCTAGCGAGCATAAGCGTAGGAACCATGGGTGCAAGGGTGCAGCTGCACCCACAATATTTATCCAGTGGGTGCAGACAATGTATTCTGCACCCACAATAATCTGAACCAAAAACCCCTTTTTCATCAACACTACTTCCCATGCAGCACGGCAAATTCAGGATATGTTGCCTACTATCCATCTTTCGAAGCATTTGCTACTGTGATCAGTGATGGTCTTCAAAACTTACATTTGTGCTGAAAAAAGGGAAATGGAGCATGTGATTGAACACATACCGAACCGATGACCCACTGTCAAAAATTTTAGCCCGATATCTTCGAAAATGGCTAAGTTGGCCGCTTTTACTTTTTGCGGTACCTAGTCAATATTGACAATATTAGCCCTCGAATGTGTGCAGCGTTTTCCAGCTTCTAATGTGTAGGGGGAGGGGGAGGGGGTCGGTCGGACCCCCTGCCGTTCGGCCCCTGATCGAGCTAGAGCTTCGCGGAAAAAACGAGAGTGTTGCCCGTGACGAGAGGAAGCCGATGATACCCAATTTTAAGGTCCTACTTCACTGGTTGACCTTCCAGGTCAGGTCAATATTCCAAAAGTCGGGAAAATCGGGACCTGCTAGAACTGCGTAAAGTGAAGCTGTTATCGGGTTTTTCGGGGTGCTGATCACAAATATCTGATGTTAGTTTTGATCACAGATGATTTCTTCATGCATTTAGGCCAGATCGGGTCAGGTCAGGTCAGGTCAACCATTAGGCGTCCTACCGACTATCCATAGTAGGTGTCAACTACCACTGACGGCGTCGTAGCATGTCACGAAAGCAATAAAACTACTTCGTAAACGTTCAAATGGATGCTAAATTCGAAATCAGCCCTATAAACTACCCTAGAAACATGTAAAACTCGAAAAAGTGAACCGAGGTCATCAAAGGTCAATGACTTGACCTGACCTTCAGGTTATCTTCACACCCACCGTGATGCATGGGAAGAACATCACTTCACATGTTTGGACGTCTACAATCACAAAAAGACTGGAAACGCGCGGATAATGTGAGCTGACATACGCCAAATCGCGATTCCGGCCGAACATGGTCTCGAGAATCAGGTCACAGGTCAAAGGTCTTTTGGGTCAGGGTCATGAAATTTTTAGAGTAGGTGTAAAACTGATCAACTCGAGGTTAATAAAAGTTTCGTCGCGATCGGCCGCTTTTTGCGCGAGTTATTTGCGAACAACCATGGGAGGTTCATCCGACCCCCCTACACATGCGAGGGTCAATGCTTCCAAATGCACTTATCGGTTGGTACCTTTTCGACATGGTACACCCTCAAAGCTCGTAACGAGCCTTCGCTCGGGTGTCGTCCCCCCCCCCCCCCCCGCTTCACCGGCCATGGCTGGATTTCTGCACCCATGCACCCACAATGTTCCAGCCGTTCCTACGCCCATGCTAGCGAGACATGGGGCCATGACGTACTGTCCGAATATGGGACCGCGGCTCTATGTGGGATGCTATGCCGGTGACCACTGACCGTGTGCTTCATGTGAGACTTGGGCGATCCGCCGACAGAACGGCGGCAAAAAAAAAAACGATTTTCCCATGCTCGGCTTAGTTCCAATGAATAACGAAACAACAATCGTCCAAAATACAAGATTCGTCCGTGGTTCAGTGTACATACAGGGAACAAAGACCACTAGTGTGTCTGGTTTGGCGTAGGTATATCATTCTCGGCCGCATGCAAACCGTTTTTGCTAAATACCGCACATTGACCGTTTACTTGAACGTTTATTTTTCGGAAATCGAAATGCTACATTTGTTGATGGTTTTTCCTTAGTAGGTAGTTGAAATGTGAAATTATCTTGGTTACGGTCGTTATGAGAAAAAAAAATGTTGGAATAAATCAACAAATGGACAATTTGTTTACAGATTGATCCGTCGACATCGCAGCTCTTTACAAGTTTGACTTCGCCAATCGTCGCTCACTCGCCTGAATGAAAAAAGCGGGTCGCTGATATACATAATATACTGCGCTTCCGCCCGTCGTTTTTTAGGTCGCACGCGCGCCCCGCGCAGTGTGTTTGTGCGCCTGGCAGTGTTCCTGCGCCGTCCCGTGTCGGGCGCGTCGGTCGGCGCTCTCTGTGACCTCTTACATAACCGGTGGCGACGCAGTTCGGCCGGGGGGTGAGATGGAGGGCGGCTCGGAACCACTTGTGACCGGCTCCTCTGGCACTCAGCCGCCAGTCGTGACACTGGCAGGCTCCGCCGAAATCAGGGTCAAGTACCCACCTACCGCCGTCCCCGCTGCTCCGGGAACGATCGTCGCAGGAGAGGAGCTTTGTTATTTTCATTTTTCACCGTTCACGGATTTTATTCGCATTAACTGTGACGATTCAGTTGGAGGATGACTTTCCCATTTCCAATTTACCCGGAAGAAGGCTTCTCTGCGCATTGAGCTCCAACTCTGTTGTACCCAGTATGTTTCCTGTATATATTAGAAGGGATTTAGGATGGAATCAGTTCCGCATCCAGCGCCCAAGGCCATTCCGTCCCGGCGAGTGTTGGACTCTTATTTACATATGCGACTGCCGGTACCGACTGGCCTCACTGGACAATGAAAATATAACAAGACTTTAAAGGATGGTCAAATCGATAAATACCACCGCGATCTTGTTCCTCTTAAACCGAAAACTGATGTTCAGACTTCAGAGACTAACAAAAGATCTTTCGGTAGTGTGAAATCATTGAAACTAAACAAGGCGAACCGATTGTAACTGAACCGAAGTAAGCCGATTGATACGGCTTCAGCGATTTTACTGTGCATTGGGTTTACGTACCCATAATATACTGCAGGGCGTATTTTAAGGGATTTTCACTGGGTCGGCAATCACAATTAGGGGCGGCATTTTGCACTCATAGGGGCGGCACTTGGCATCTGAGGGGGCGGCATACCTACTGATATTTAATGACCAAAAAAGACACGTTCGACGGTTCTTTTAAAACTCTTTCTAAGTAATGATTTCAGATTCAACCTAAGCTCAGCGGTATTACGTTTAT